CCGGGGAGGACCGGAAGTGGTTGGTTTCCGGCGCACGCGGCTAACCGGCTGCCGTTCACAGGTACAGCACCAACAGCACCTTCTGGGCGATCGACAATCACACTGAGCTTCATGCTGTGCGGAAACGGCTCAGGAGCAAGGTAGGTGCTGCGGGTGAAATAATGTACCCTGAATGTGAACACAGCATTATAATAGGGCTTTAAGGCTGAAACAGACTCTTTCCGCGTTCAGGAAATCGCATGCGAGAGCCTATTCAAATACGTTATAATTCTTCCCGCATCAATCGCATCCGGAGGTGCGTGCGATTGATGCGAGCGTGCTTCCATGTATTTGAATAGGCTCTCGCTACGATTTCCTGACTGCGGAAAGAGTCTGTTTCAGGCTTTATAATGTTTTCGTTACTCGAATGACGTTTGTGTAATTGTAAGCAATGCACACATAGCATCGGCTGCTTAGTAAACTACTAAAGGAAATTGGTGATGCATGTCGGCATTATTTAGGCATGTTGAGTGCTAACCCATCTCCATGGAAAAGGTGGCCATCAAAGGGTGATCAATGATCATGCAGCACAACTGCTTGTTACATGATCTACCAATGGCACAACAACAAACAACAAATTGATATGTGCGCTGAATCAAGAATGACCGGTTGTTTCAGGATTGCCAATTATTTTTTGCTATCGCTCGTACTACACAAAAAGCAGAACATTTTGCCAAATTTTACAGCAAATGCTCATTTCATATAGCATTAAATAGTCATACCAATGCCACCCGAAAGTAGGCTGTTTCTTCAGTTATCACAATTTTCCTGTTGCCGATCTCCCCATTTTCCGAACCAACATTTTTTCTACCCGTCTGAAGAGTGACCTCATTAAGCCGGCCGTTCAGCTATTGACTGTGTCGCAAAGGGTGCCTTCAGTGACCTTTGCAGTATCCGTGTCTTATTAACCTTAGGGCTCGGTGGCTCGCTCTATCACTTGTCCCAATTTGTGCCTGCTTTATTAATGATCTGAATGAGTGGTAGGCGCAGAAAAGATGAATATGATTTTGAAAGCTGAAATATCTGGCAAAAAGTATTTCGCCATTACCTAAAATTATGAATGTTAGGCGTCATGTTTTTTCATTGTTGGTTGGAATATATTTTTTCGAAAGCGGGCCAATGAATCGCGTTTAGGTATTGGGGCATTCCACGTCAAATCGAACAAAAATCGGCTGTTTTGCACCTTACCATCAGCGATTTCAGTATAAATTTGTGAGCGAGTTCCTGTGTGGCCCCGGACATTACATTGATGTTTTTTGCACATTCTGACCACAGGTCTTCTAAATATAGGGCATCAAATTTTACAAAATGTTGCATATTTATATTTTTGAACAACCATAACTTTGGTTGTACTTGTTTGATTTGAATGAAATAAACCTTACTGTTTAGGTAATTTCTTAAGCATTTGTTTAGAATTGCACCTACTTAAATATATGACCTTGAAAATTGCTTAACTCTGTTCTTAAGCACAAATATTGAAATAGCAAAAAAACACGTCACCTTCGATTTGGCTCATTTTCATATATTTTATTGCCTACCATATTCTTAACAACCTGTGAAAAAATTAGAGTGGGCCATTCATAAGTTTTGAAGAAAATTGCACATATGCAAACGTATGTTAGCACGCGCAGTGGAGGGGGAAGAGCGAATTTCGCCCACCCCTCCTGTTTTTCGCCAATATCTCATAAGATTAATGCGAAATTAATTATGGCTACCTGTCAAGAATTGAATTGGACATCTCATCGTGCAAGCAATAAGAAAATCGGTTCACAACTGTTCTAGTAATAGCGGTGTAAAGTGAACATCCTGTCCCCGCAGCGACGCGGCGACTCGGCAGCCGGCGCCGACCGCTACGCGCCGCCTGAATTGTAGACTGTGCCGGGACGGAACGGAACGGTTCCGTCTTTACATCGCGCTCCCTACCGCTGATTACGTTCGATTCGCGTCAAATTTTGTGAGAAGACTAAGAAATGTACAGGCAATCTTATGGTGAAAGAATTTTGAAAATCGGTTGGTAAACAATTGAAATATGAACGTGTAAACACAAAATTGTGATTGCTGCGTTTCCCGCATCGGCCGAGCCCGCCTCAGCCGGCGACATGTTACTCAATTAGCAGGTCTCTAACTGCCATATTTATTATTGGATTAACTAGAAATTCCCCATACATACTAAAAAATGTATGTTCTTTCGTATAGTGAAGATCAAAAGACGTGAAGATATCGTTGCGTGATAATGTTTTCGTTGAATTTACTTCATGATGCATTTCCACACGGCTCAAAATTCACCGCAAAATACCGTTTGCCTGAGACACTTTTACTATGGAACGTGACTGCTTGACTACGATGACTATGCATTTCCATTCTCGCAGAGTTTGGGATATCACTAATCAGCAATCATTCATTTCAGAAAGTGTACACAAGCAAGCATGTCTTGACTCTGTCTTTCAAGGTCACGCGCGGTTGCGTGATGTTGATGCATGAAAACGGCGTTTGCCGCGAAAGTTATGAATGGCCCACTCCAATTTTTTCACAGATGGTTGGGAACATTGTGACGGACATAATATGTAAAAATTAGCCAAATCGAAGGTGACGTGTTTTTTGCTATTTAAATTTTTCTGTTTTAATTCAAGGTCAAATGCATTTCAAGGTCACTTCAATTTAATTTTATAATTAAAAATCAAAGCCTTATCAATTGCCTATAAGACCCTGTTAATATCATTTTGATACCAGAAAAGGAACCAGAGTTATAGCCATTTAAAAAATTGATGTGTGGCATTTTTCGCTATATTCGATGACCTATATCTCAGCGATACGTTATCAAATTTCGAAAATATTATACGTAACTCAGTTTTGAACCATGCCCAGTCTGCCTACAAATTTTCAGAAAAATCGAAGGGGATGACGGATTTCGGTGTTTGATTTGACGTGGAATGCCCCTATTTCACTCGCTATGTGATAGAGGTCTGCCTGTAACATTGATACGCGAGCTGGTCCTGTAGTAGCCTATCCAAAAGGTCCCGGCCCGCTGTGGTCAGTCGTCCGCCGTCATTCCTCGTCGGTATATGGGTGTATCGACATGGGAAGGGGGTCAGGGCGGGGCCGGGAGGGGGGCGCTGTCTGGCGGATCTGGGGGCGGGGCGGCCAGCGGCGGGGACAGTATTACTGCGTAGTCGGAACGGGGCGGGACACTGGGCTCCTGATGGATCGCTTCCCTCGGGGCAAGGTCAGGGTCTGCGGGGCGGGTTTCGGTGGTCAGTGGCCCACAATATCGGCGAACTTGGTCCGTGTGGGTGGGCTGCCGCGGCGGCCGCCGGCCGGACTCCGTCCTGGTGGTACTCAGAGTGATACATGGCAGCAGCGCGGACGGAACTGCCGCCCGCCCGGCCATTGTGTGACATATCACTCCTGGGAAGTCAGATTAATGGTCATTCAATGGCCATTCGACTCATATACAATTACCAGGGCCATCAAGCTGTCGTCCAAGTGGCCGTTCGAGTGACTGCCAGACGGACTGAAGGCAGTAATAGACCGACTAACGGGTGAAGTCGCCGCATGCTAATTTGGCCCCTGTTTGCAGGGTTAAAAGTAGTGTGCCACCTTTGAAAGATTTCCCATTTTATTTTTCCTAGGATAAGAAGCTTCTGTTTTTACCTAATATCGCAAAAAAATCAAAAATGGGCCTGGAATAGTGCCTTTTTCGCCTAAAAGTTTTTCGGTTTTTAGATATGTATAACAACTGTAGTGGGCTCACCTGCAAACAGGCGTCGGGCAACAATCGCGAATGCGGCGCACTTGTGACAATAAGCAAAGGTCATTATAGTGTTACGACCATACGACGTACGGGAATGAGTTATCAGCTGTCTAATCGTAGACAACACAATGTCGAGCCTTAAACTGTAAGCCCGTATTGGTATTGTTTCTTTTATTTGGCTGTCGAACATTATTTATGGTTTGAAATATGATTTTATGTAAAATAATTGATATGAAAAAGCCGTCTTATAAGTTATGACCCCATTTCACCACACGCAAGTGGCAGAAATGACAATGATCAGCTGACGCATTTTTCTTGGCCGAAGTCAGAGCGCGCGGCCCGACGCACCACGCGTATTTGGAAATTCCGACCTCGACGAGCATCAGAAGCCACCTAACAGGCGTGTTCGAAACCGCAGGAGATGATGATGAACGGGTTTATCGAAACTTGATTGGATGAGCATATCGGTAATAGCGATTTCAGTGTGTGCATTTATTGTTCATAGTGGTGTGAAATGTGGTTGGGGTACGACCGACAACCCGTCGGGGCGAATTTCGCACTGGGGTACTCAAAATTTGAAGAATTTAAGACGTTTCCATGAGTTTTGAAGGTATGGATAAGTTCTAAAAATCCGGTTCTCCTTATCTGGGCCATTAACTCCATACGGTCCAAGAAAGCTGGCACACTACCTTTAAAAATTATGCGTTGCTTTAGGCTGAGAAACCATCACGATTGATTACATTCGCTGCGATACAAAAAGGCATGGCTGCATCATGCATGAATGCATACCTTACATGAATAATATATTTCGGGTATGCATGCGTTTGAGGTTTCGTATTCATGTCATTGATACTTTTCTAAGTTTTTTTTTTATTACATCGGACACCATGCTTTGATTACTCACTCTAGTGTTGGGCAGTGACAGCTCTGGGCAGTGATTTCACATAATTCAAAGAACGTCACATAAGAGAAAGTTCGATTTTTTTTTTCCAAATCGCTTGCTGTCTTACCTATTCGCTGTACCCAGCTTTCCGCTGCAGTTTAAAAACCTCTGCATGGCATGATATAAGACGTTATTACATTAATATAGCCAACTTTCTCCATTGTTTGTCAGGCTGTGTCCGGCCGGGTACGTGTGCCTGCCGGGGATCGGCGACAACCCCAACTACGGCTACACCAGTTTCGACACCTTCCTCTGGTCCATGCTGACCACATTCCAGCTCATCACCCTCGACTTCTGGGAGGATGTCTACAACAAGGTGAGCTAGGCCGGCGTCTCTTCAATTGTCCTTTCTTGTGGGTCAAGGTCCGGCGTGTCAGAAATGATGTGCTGGTTTATGATTCCAGGATGTGTCCTTTTTCCGAGACTGCTCGTCAGTGATTGAGTTAGGACACTGCAGCAAAAACCGGACCTTTCGTGCGTCACGAAGAGGGTCCGTGGTAGCAGCTTTGTAGTTCACGCTCTGAAGAGGATGTCAAGTAATTTCATTGGTTGTAATTTTGTAAAATTGCGTTTTTGCCCATTATGAGACTTGGGTGGGAGCTGATTCTACCGTCAAATGACTAGTTCTGACGTTAGGCGGTTCACAAAGAAACAAAGTTACTTGAATATTGAACAATGACGAAATGTAGAGGTCATTAATAGTCACCGTTTTTAGGCTTTGCACAATACTAATATCCGTATCATGTGAGTAAGTTGTCCGATTAAATGCAAGAATTAAGACATCTGCAAGAAAATTAATTCCAGATAAACGGAACCGTTCGCTGGTTAATTTCTACCTCATTTCACCAACTGCCGGGCGTCACAAATCAACAGTGTTGAGCGTGATAAGCGGCCCTTCGAGCCGACCCAGCTGAGGCCGTCGACGGTGTCATTAGACCCGTGCTCGGTGACCCTCGTCGGCACTGTGTGCTGGATCACGAATGATGGTAGTCAAACAACATCGCTCACCCGCGTCTGCCGGGATCGGCGGGCTGGCTCGTCCCGATCGTACCGCCACGAGAGACAAAAACGGATGGAGAGAAGCGAGACGGAGTGGGGAAGCGGACAGTGGAGTGCGTACTTGTGAATATATCGTCTTTTGAGGCGATCGTGATTGATACTCCAAGCGAATGCGCGAATGATAGCGAGAAACGCTGCGCAGAACGATTTTTATTTAAATTTTGAACTAGCGTCATTCCATGGATCATAGAAAAATAACTAACTTTTGGCATCATGAGCAGTACCCTAGCTAAAGACACGGATTACCTTATTTTAAAGTTGTTAACAAATACACAGACTTTCTGAATCAGGCTTCGATTCCAGCGTACACTCACCCTCAAAAGAACACAGCAAAGCCTCTGTTCCACATTCCGCTCCTGGCCACCAGTCTCTGCCGGCTTTGGTTTCTCTCTGGGGGAGCAGCTGGCCCGCTCGCCCAGGGCAGATCATAGCGCCATTTCTCCGGGCTGAAGGTGCTGCAACCTTCCGCGGCGCTGCTCGACCGTGCCATTTGCAGCCCGATGGGGCCTGCAGGAGCATTTGCCGACTGAACGTCTCGCCAGCCCGGCTGTGGCACGCCGTGAAGGGCGGGGTAGGGGTAGCGGTGGGGGTGGGGCAGGGGCGATCCCGGCGCGACGGTGGAGGACGAGGTGGTCCATCCGTGGAGCTGTATGAGTACTTTCTGGCGATGCGAAATTTTGAGAAGATGCTGTGAAAGGTATTATACCTATATCCCACACCTCAGGGAAGCCAGATTTAATCAGTCGCTGGTGATAAATATTTTGGACTTTTAGAATATATTAGTTATAGACGCCAAGCTGCTAAAACAATTGCGGGAAATGCTTGCCGAGTGGAACCTGAATATAAACAATTGTTAGTAATTCGTATTCGTTTCGGGCTACACTGAGGTAAAAAATTGTTAAAAACCAAATATTTCGGCTTTATTGAGTAGCCTTGTTCACTGGTTTACAAGCTATATCATAGCCTATAGGTCTGTATAAGGTATATTACCATTTACGAATCAGGCTGTATTCAATAATATAACATCCTACATCCAAGCTCATTTTATATCATTGACTCTTCCATCCAATAGCTGAAACCGCAGCTGTCGGATCTGTAAACATGGCGATATTGTTGTTGCTCAATCACTCCTCTCCAGAGCTCTCCGGCGGCACTCGGGTCCGGACGGCCGACTGACACGGCCTCGTCTCCGGGCCACTCAGCCGGCGCGCGAGCTGAAGGGTGTTTTCATTTTTTGCCGGCCCGACTATTGAGCACCCCAGTGGCCGAGAGCGGAAAAAAGAACACGCGGGGAGGGACCGCAGTCGGAGAGAGGAATAGGAAACAGACGAGAGTGGAAAGAGAAGGGAGGGAGGGCTGGGGATTGGCCAGAAATCGATGTCCTTGCGGTAGGCCACGGTAGAGTAGCAGCCAGATGGAATGCTGCTCAGACAGAGGACTTTCTACCAAATTGACATATTCTTTTACACGATGCAGCATGTTGGAAGAAGCGATTTGATAAAGCAGAAATGCTAGTTTGACCATGACCAAGAAAGGTGCATTTCATGATTCCATGGGCAATCCGTAGCCATTCCTTAGACAAGGTTTCAGTCACTTTGTTTTAATGGCCGTCTGCACCCAAATCGTGTTATCGTTCATATCATGATCGATAACAAGACGTGGGCCGACGACGAGTGTGTCTATAGGACGGCATATATATGTACAGATTGGAAGTTCCTATTGGGGAGGGTGGGAGGGGACCATTTTCCACAGCCTGTCGCTTGGTTTCCACCCTTCTGCACTGTCCGCCGCCTCTGAGCTCGCGTCTTGGACTGCCTGACCTGTTTTGCGGCAGATCCCTCCCTCCCCGTGTGTACTATGTGTGCCTTATCTCGCCTCGGCCGCGGCCCGGTCCCCTCCCCGTCCCTGGACCCGGGCCGTCAACCGCGCGCCACGACTCGGGTCTCCTCCCACCCCTCTGCCCCTCCCTCCCTCCTCGTGCTGGCCATCCTCCGCTCACTCTATTCGAGCCCCAAATCAAGCTAATAGGTGGACCCTATTACTGATTTGGGTGTCTCATACCGTTCGCTCCCCAAATCTGTTGTCCAGTATTGGCTGTTAATGGCCGTCTGCACCCAAATCGTGTTATCGTTCATATCATGATCGATAACAAGACGCCAAACTCGCCAACGGAGCAGAATGTACGTACATGCGGTTATATAGGTGTTTCCAGCCTATGGCTGCGTAAGATCATGTACGAGTCTAATTATGAATACGCCCCCGAAGTCACGCCTAAGATTGTTTAATCGCAGTACCACAGCCTGCCGTGCCTGTTGCTATCTGCTGTTTGCACTTGCCTGACCGGCCCGCCGCGCCGGCGCCGCGGTGTGCGTTATGAGCCACGCCAGGTCGTTTTTCCGCGCGTCCGCCCGCTCGGCCGCACGTTCCCTTATCCATGTCGCCACACCCCCTCTCTCTCTCTCTTTCTCTCTCTCTCTTCCTCTCCCTCCTCTCTCTCTCTCTCTCTTCCTCCCTCTCCTCTCTCTCCCTCTCCCTCTCCCTCTCCTCTCCTCTCCTCTCCTCTCCTCTCCTCTCCTCTCCTCTCCTCTCCTCTCCGTCCGTCCCAGGCCATGGTCCCTCCCTTGTTTGTCGGTTTGTCGGCGGTGTATAGCTTTTATCACCGCCGTAAGCAAATAGCACCACTGTGTCCACAGATTCCCCTCATCTCCGGCTTTCGCGTTTGACGCGAGCACTAGTCAGCGATTTTGCCGCGCTGCTTTTCTGCTGGGCTATACGCGTGGAACTTGGCATGACTGGCAGGCGCCGCTATTGCGCCAGGTATATATCGATACCATACCGAGGCCGCGCTGACATGCACACGCACCGACCAGTTGGCGACATGTTGACCCTGTTAACGTCCTCTAGACCGCCTTGCCGACGCCGGGTCTAAACTCTAAACCAACAGAAATGTGACGCCCACACCACGTGGTCAAAGTATAACCGGATCCAGTCAAACCAGCCGGTGGTCCAACCTATGCATACACTAACCGTCGCGTTCAATGTCTTGCTGGGGGAGAGCCGGTGTCGGCCGAGACGAGACGAGACGAGTCGGCCGTTTGGGGTGACGTCCCTGAGGCTCACGTGGGCGGAGCCTAATGACGTCCCATTGGCGACCGAAACTGGTCTGATGACCTGGGTTCGCTTTACGAGTTTTACATGCCTCCAGGGTAGTTTTGGAGCTGATGTCGAATTTAGCATCAATAAGAACAGTCACGAAGCAGTTTTGAAATGACCATCCCACTTTAGCATTAGTTTGAGTTGAATTAGCCAAGTTTGCGGCCAGGTTAAGAAACCACCATCTACCCTGGTCGCAACCCCCGCATCTTCGGTGTTGAAGACATTTATTCCCTTCAGGTGCAGAGTGGGACTAGCTTAGTCCCTATCTCTTAACCATTAACGGACTCTGATGACGTCATCGGTTTCTCTCGTTACGGGCAGCACGCTCTCTCCCTCCGCAAACATCCAGCCCAATCAGGGGCCGAACGGCAAGGGGAGGGGGTCCAACCGGCCCCCTACCCACACGTTAGACGCAACAGAACGCCGCACACGGGCGAGGGATATGATAGGTGGACGGATCAGGCTCATTCGAAAGCCTGACCCATCAGGATCACAAGCGGCGGCCGCCGCCGCGACGGGACAGTGACGACCTGCAGTTGTGCAGTTACATTCCGACTTAGCGTTGGAAACGGTCTAACATGAGCCTTCTTGCTGATACGTGCCCTGGGGAAGACCGCAGTCGACACAGCCAGCCGGGAACCACCGCGGCACGTCAGCGTGACACTCACCATGTCAATCCGCCCAGCGCTCAAAGCCAGCCGAACTCGGGGCGCCCGGCGCACCCGGCTAGCCGGCATACAATACATCTCTGCACAGCGGCGTGACACTGACTGGGGCGGTCTGTTCTGCGCACACACCCAGCCTGGAATCCATCACTGCACCGCAGCGTGACACTGACTATTTCGATCTACCCGACGCACATGTCCAGCCAAGTTCGACTACCTGGCGCTCACAGCCCGCTATCTGCCAGCCCAGGTCGAAACGCCCAGAGCGCACGGCCAGCCGGCAAACGTCTCTGCACAGCAGCGTGACACTTTCTTGGTCGAATTACTCGTCGTACACAGTCAGCCATGCTTAGACCTCGACCGGAGAAGGGGTTGATACATCCCCAAGGGGTTTCTTTTGCGAATAGCGCAAAAAATGCGCCGCCAAATTTGCATATCCTCCGTGGCCACCTCCCGGCACCCTCCCTGAAAATTCAGGTCTCCGTCATCCATGTCAGCTCACCCGGTCCCAAAACCGGACTCAGGGTAAAATTGGACTGTTTTAGCGGCAACGGCATAACAGAGTTTCCGTTAATAGCGCGAGTGCCGTGGCACGCAGCGCCACCAAATTGAGACTCAACTCAGGGGCATTCATTTGACATTTGCCCTGGGAGTTTGAGTTCCGCTGGCCTCAGGTCAGGTCACCAGGTCACAAAACGGTACATCGTCAAAATGGCACTGAAAACACCATTTCCATGAAAACCAGAGTTGTTCATCGATTTGATTCAAACTCCCAGGACACGCTAAATTCCTCGAGTGCCGTTACATGCATTCCACTTTCCAAATTCGGTTGACCTGAGGTCATCCAGCGACCTGACGCATTCGAAGAAATTTTGCAAGAATGTTGCAAATTATACATATGAAAGATATATGTTCCAATTCAGCTCTTCTATGTTGCACCACCTCAGTTACATCAACACGTGATTTGTGCCTATGCTTCAACCACTAAGGTCGGGTCAAATGAGGTCAGACTACATTTTTTTCCAGCCAATAACTTGGCACGCAATAATACTGTGTATGCGCTTCAAAATGGCTTCAAAATGGTGCCACAGCGCTCCCTGCGATCAGCCGAGTCGAAGGGTTTGCAGTATGATGCATTTGATGAACAAACTTATTGAACTTAGTTAATGAACTATGACGCTTCCGGCTTCACATCAGCGTGACGCTGACTATCCGATCTACCCCGGCGCACACAACCAGCCGGGATACCATCGCCGCACGGTACGACAGTGTGACACTTACTAGCTTTTTCTATTCGGCACCCATAGCCAGCCGAGCTCGATCAACCCGGCGCACACAACCAGCCGGGATACCATAGCCGCACGACAGTGTGACACTTGCTAGCTTTATCTATTCGGCACACATAGCCAGCCGAGCTCGATCTACCCTGGCGCACACAACCAGCCAAAAGCAGATGTGCTTCACTCACCCGGCGCACACAGCTAGCCGGGTGGTCCACGAGATCTAACCACTCGGCGAACACATCCAGCCGAGCGGGACTACCTGAACCACACAGCCGGCCGAGGTACCCACGAGAACTAACCACTCGGCTAACACATCCAGCCGAGCGGGACCACCTGGCGCACACAGCTAGCCAGGAGACCCACGAGATCTAACCACTCGGCGAACACATCCAGCCGGGCAGGACCACCCGGCCGGCGCACACAACCGACCGGGATACCCACGAGATCTAACTACTCGGCGCCAACAGCCAGCCGAGCGGGACCACCCGGCGCACACAGCTAGCCGGGAAACCCACGAATACTTACCACTCAGCGAACACATCCAGCCGAGCGGGACCACCCGGCGCACACAGCAAGCCGGGAAACCCACGAAATCTAACCACTCGGCGAACACATCCAGCCGAGCGGGACCACCCGGCGCACACAGCCAGCCTGGGTACTCACGAGATCTAATTACTCGGCGAACACATCCAGCCGAGCGGGATCACCCGGCGCACACAGCTAGCCGGGAGACCCACGAGAAATAACCACTCAGCGAACACATCCAGCCGAGCGGGACCACCCGGCGCACACAGCAAGCCGGGAAACCCACGAAATCTAACCACTCGGCGAACACATCCAGCCGAGCGCGACCACCCGGCGCACACAGCAAGCCGGGAAACCCACGAAATCTAACCACTCGGCGAACACATCCAGCCGAGCGGGACCACCCGGCGCACACAGCCAGCCTGGGTACTCACGCAATCTAACTACTCGGCGAACACATCCAGCCGAGCGGGACCACCCGGCGCACACAGCTAGCCGGGAAACCCACGAAAACTTACCACTCAGCGAACACATCCAGCCGAGCGGGACCACCCGGCGCACACAGCAAGCCGGGAAACCCACGAAAACTTACCACTCAGCGAACACATCCAGCCGAGCGGGACCACCCGGCGCACACAGCAAGCCGGGAAACCCACGAAAACTTACCACTCAGCGAACACATCCAGCCGAGCGGGACCACCCGGCGCACACAGCAAGCCGGGAAACCCACGAAATCTAACCACTCGGCGAACACATCCAGCCGAGCGGGACCACCCGGCGCACACAGCCAGCCTGGGTACTCCGAGAACTAACCACTCAGCGAACACATCCAGCCGAGCGGGACCACCCGGCGCACACAGCTAGCCGGGAAACCCACGAAATCTAACCACTCGGCGAACACATCCAGCCGAGCGGGACCACCCGGCGCACACAGCTAGCAGCCTGTGTGCACCACCCAGGCTGCACATGGTAAGTGTCACTATGACACTTACCATGTCGATCTACTCGGCTCACCTAGCCAGCCGATCGCGATCCTACCCCGGCGAACACAACCAGCCGAGGGCCATCATCGCTGCACATGTCATGTCAGCCGAGCCGATTCGTTATGTTCCTGATGCCTAGAGTCTCGTATGTGCCTTGCGGCTTTCCTGTTAACATATAATTATACATACATACGTACACTCACTTGCCAAGTGCGTCTCTGCACAATGGTCTGGGTTCGTTCACGGCATATTCCATTCGTTTGACTCTTGAGCGGGTCAACCATGCAGGTCCCTTATCACTAGTCTCGCTAGCACGCTAGCCTGACTTACCGGCCATGTATGTTTCCCTTGTGCTCCCTCTGCTGAGCACCAGCTACTTTGTCGTGCCACAAACCTGTCTCCCGTCCTCGCCCACTGCTCGCTCCTATCACACAGGCATTCGCTCGATTTCCACTCTCTCGACTGTCCGTTGCCTCCGAGACCACGACCACCATTTTCCACAGCCTGTCGCTTGGTTTCCACCCTTCTGCACTGTCCGCCGCCTCTGAGCTCGCGTCTTGGACTGCCTGACCTGTTTTGCGGCAGATCCCTCCCTCCCCGTGTGTACTATGTGTGCCTTATCTCGCCTCGGCCGCGGCCCGGTCCCCTCCCCGTCCCTGGACCCGGGCCGTCAACCGCGCGCCACGACTCGGGTCTCCTCCCACCCCTCTGCCCCTCCCTCCCTCCTCGTGCTGGCCATCCTCCGCTCACTCTATTCGAGCCCCAAATCAAGCTAACAGGCGTCTCTCGAGTCTCGTCATTCAGATGTTGGATGCTGGACAAGATATGTCGTCCGATGCCGCTCCGCGTGAGCTTATCTGGTACCGTGTTGACCTTCCGCTCTTTTCGGCAGATTATCGCCGCCATGGGCCCCTGGAGTATCCTGTTCTTCGGGCTGGTGGTGTTTTTCGGCTCCTTCTACCTCATCAACCTAATGCTGGCCGTCGTGGCCATGAGCTATGAAGAAGAGGCTGAGAACACCGAGGAGGTAGGCGGTGATCGTAATATTTCAGAGATAAAATGCAGACATGAAAAGAAAAGCAGCTGCTATTTGAAATATTTTGAACGTTCAGATGTGGATCAATACAGGACTCGTGAAAACACGATAAATATTTTCAGTGGGTTGATTTGTTTTGCATTATGCACATTTAAACCATTGGCGATTGTTTATACAAGAAATGTGTGCGATCTCTTACCACTGAACGGTGCGTTCACGTTCCCAGGAGAAGGTGAAGGACTTGGCGGATCACCGGGACGATTCCACCTTCAGCTTCGACCCTTCCAACCTGAAGCTGCACCGTCTGGACAAGGACAGCAAGTTCCCGACGATCCGACTCAAGAACCACACCATCTTCGCCTCCTACAAGTACAACAAGAAGAAGAAAAAGAAAAAAGCCAAGGGCCGTAAGTCGGTGGAGGGCGGTGTGACCAAGGAGGACGACAGCTGTGTGTCGGCGGACGGCCACGTCAGCGCTGTGTCCCCTGCCGGAAGGAGGGTCAGTGAGCTACACGACGAGCACGAGACTAACGAGCTCCGTCCGCGGGCGCTGGTGCACGAGCTGCTCAGCCCGGATCCGCGGCCGGTGGTGGTGGAGCTGCCGGGGGCGATCCGCACCCCGTCCGTTAGCCCGCAGCGCAAACAGTCGTCCTCCTCGGACCGGTACGCCGCCGCGGCCCAGGACCCGACAGAGGTGTCGTGCGACTCGTCGGCACTGAACGTCCGCGCACTGCCGCCGTCACCAATACCGGCGGCTGCCCCGCCGACCACCGAGGCGCATCCGCTGCGCTCCTCGTGTGAGCAGCTGGAGGCCACCGAGAAAACCAGCGTGCAGATGTTCCATGGAGGGGAGCTAGACGAGTACTACGTGCATATCACCACCGGCCAGCAGCCGCTGGGGCCGGCCGGCAGCCGCGGCGCGCTGGACTGTACCCCCACCGGGGACGCGGCCGACGAGCTGGCCGGTCTGGAGGACGCGGGTCTGGACGAGGACGCCGTGTCACCACTGGCCGGTCACCGCTCGCAGGGCGGCGGCCGGCGCGAGGCGCTGCGTCACGCCATGTTCGCCACCAGTGTGGAGTCGCAGGGTATCGGGGAGATGCGGGGTAACAGTGACTCGTCCACCAGCGAGCACCGCTCGGCGGGCGACGTGCGGCGGCTGGGGATGCGCGAGTGCTCCTTGGACGACTCCGGGGTGGTCGGAGACCAGGAGACCATGTCCGAGCGCGGCAAAAACATGATGATCCGGACGGAGGTGGGTCACGGTGGCTGGAGGGCCGTCATCCTAAACACATGATTATGGAGAGAGTTTGCAACATGTTTTGTGCTGAGAAAAATATGTCTACAGATAACACTAAAACAAAGCCTTAGTTAATTAAGTTTTACTAAATAGTACGATTACAAGACCCTATCATTGTAGTGCATATTGGTCCGCTATGTTGCTGGCTTAGCTGAGTCCATATAAGCAATGCAATAGCATTCGTTGATTACCACCCCTAAACATGCAACTTAAAGTAACATTAATTTTCGGTGAAATTCAGTTCGACGCCACCCAACGCAACCTGGCCTCTGTTGATCGGATGTTGCTTGATACTGTCGGTCTTTATCGCAGGATATCACCCCTCTGGCCAAAGCGCTGGACCTGGAGGTCACACTCACGGAGAAGAAGTGTAACGGGATCAGTCCCCAGCGCCGGAGTCCGTCGCCCTCCTACGTCTCCCATGTGGTCGAGCTACACGGTAAGCCTTGGGAGCCGTACGACCAAGTCTAATTATGGTTGGTCACTCGTGCGCGAATGACCTTGTAGTGGGTGCGTCCCTAAAAGGATGTTGGTTACTGATTAGATATTTGAACATTTTGTAACCCTTCTTTCAAATAAGCGATTGCCAAATAAGCGACCTTAGGTCACTTCAATTGATACGCTTCTTGCAAATCTAATAATTATGCAGTGTTTGTCGTCAATTAATTACAAGGCAATGCTAGCAGTTATCATTTTCTGAGTATTTCAGGTGGTAAGCGTTATGACAGAACGCCACTGTAAAAGTTTAGTTGCTCGCGATCGATGTGTGGCACATTGCGTGCTAACAGACAACTTAACCCTATTCCTGGCGGGGGGGGGGCCTCAGGAGCCCCCCCCCTGAGGTTTTTTGGTTATTTCTCCCAAACGCGTTGAGCTAGGAAGCTCAAATTTTCTGACTTTTCCTAAAAGGCTTCTACGCAACATGTCTGAAAATTTTGAGTTGATCTGACCTCAGGTCAGGTCACCAGAGGCGGTTTGGTGACCCTACCTCAGAAAAGTTTGCAATCACGCCAGAGCTAGAGTTTTTGTCCGATCAATTTCTTCTCTTCAGGGTTTAGTTAGGGTACCAGTATGTGCAATTTGTATATCTCGGAATTTTGATATCGGTGACCTAAGGTCAGGTCAATTTCGCGACCTCCCCATTATAAGTCAATGGGGGAAAAATCAACTCCCTGTTTTTACCACTAAAACGGGTCGGAATGGCCCCATATACCATACATGACTTCATATATGATCAACCTTCACTACCTTGAGGTCTGTTTTGCTGTTGGGCAGCTGTGAGGTCATGTGACGTCATCAAAGGTCACCAAAGGTTTTTGGCCAATAACTCCGTACAGGAACAAGATACAGACGCCTGGATGGTCTCATTGTGTTCAGCTCGTCAAGACGCATCGAATGATATACATGATGACCTCGAGGTCACGTGACCTGAGGTCAACCTTTGACCTTGACCTTTCGAGGTCAACATATATATCATTCGATGCGGATTGACGAGAGGATCACGATGATGCCCTTAGTTTGTTCCTATCTTGACTAATTCGAAAGTTATTCGAGAAAAACTCTCTCCATATCTAGTGCCGCCATTTTGACTTTTTCGACCCCTGTGACGTCATCTTTGACCTGACCTGAAAATGACCTTAGTAAAAATTGTAGATCTTGGCCGTGCGTATCCGATGCCGTTTACCGCTTGTCGCTATCTTGCTTCGTTCTCGAGATCTCAGGGGGGGGCCGAATCGGCCCCCCCCCCGCCAGTTTCTTGTCCCGGCGGAGCCCGCCAGGAATAGGGTTAAGCCGATCATTTGGACGTTACTTGATGGACTTGATATCATGGAGCCTGTAGGCTATGTGATGTGTAGCAGCTGGTCTTCGCTCAGGGCCATACTAACTTGCGTTATTGAATTTTTAAGCATCACAGCTAGATACTAAACCGAGGCTACTGAACTGTGCGGCAGAAGTAATCGTAAATATGTTTTATACTTTACAGTTCTCGTAAATAATCCATTTGGAACGCAAAGTAAGCCGCTACGGGTGTACTGTACTGAAGGATGAAAAGACGCAGTAGCATTCTTACTCCCGTCTCTTTCAGTTGTGTAGATCTGTGAAGTACGAGTATAAGGCAATGCCAGCTTGCTTCACCATTATCATTTGTGCTAACATCAGAGTCAGACCACCTCCTGGCAGTTGGCACTGTAACCTTTTCGACAACAAATGCTTGATCATCTATTCGTTTCTGTTTTTGCCTCCAGACGAGACGCCGGACCGCAACTGCGACTGCTGCTCATCGTGCTGCATCTGGTACGAGACGTGGCTGCGCTGGCAGAACCGGCTGCACCTGCTGGTCACCGACCCCTGCTTCGACGTGTTCATCACGCTCTGCATCATCCTCAACACGGCCTTCCTGGCGCTGGAGCACTACGGCATGTCCAACGAGATGCGCCAGACGCTGGAGATCGGCAACAGGGTGAGGCGCTGCAGAGGGGAGCTTTCAATCATCCTGTAATTTCGCGCCGCAGGAGTAGCTTTAACCCAGCTTCTGTTCGGCTCGTAAACGGAAAGTACGTCGTGATGTCGCTTTTGTGGTGGCGGGCTTTTCTTCAACAAACGGAGACGGCACTGTCGAGAGGATAACGACTGGGACGTTATTTAGAATGCCGTGACGTCAAGTTTCGTTCAGGAACATGAACCGTCACCTCGTAAACCCTAACGAGTGAGTCGATCGCTCTGTCGCGCCGAGCGGGTGACGTTTTCGCCGCTGTCTGCGGCCCGTCTCAGATCGAGAGCCCCGGCTGCTCCGGCCGCCTCGGTACTGATTTGAGTGCACTTGATAGGCGGCGGCTGAGCTGAAAGCGGAGTCGTTTGACCGTGGAGGATCAGCCGGCTCGGAGATGGGGCCGGCTTGCGGCGCTCGTAAAACGGACCTCGCCACGTGACTTAGAGCTGACGGTCCGCTGATGTCGGCTCGCTCAGCGGTGCTTGGAAATATCTCCACCGCTGAAGGGCCCTGATTGAAATCCGGCCGGCAGGGATTTAGGCCTCGCCGCAGTGGTTTGTTACAGAGGGGTGGGATGTGCTCTGAAATAGGTTTTAGAATATGCATTTTTATGTGTTCAGATTGAGACAGTGACAGCAAACATAGTTTGATGCATATTGCATTACTGAGCACCGGCCACCTTACATTAGCGCCAAATCAAATTTGGTCTATTGACTGAAGCGTTTCTCTGAAACCAATAATTTAGCGCGACATCTTTCCGCATAATTGCGGCCGAGCCGATCCGCCTATGGAATCGTTCAACTTTGGCATCGTCCGCTGAACTTGACTGCCTGTTGCGTCACTTCATCACCTTAGTTCAGAAGACCTCAACATTCTGCAGGCAGCAGCTCGGGTCCGCGGTCCGAAGCTGCTCAGCAATCTGAGGGTTCTTCGCTGTGGTCATTGTAATTGTGTCGTATTTTCATACAGTTACGCAGTTTAAAGTTTCATGTTCAATTTGAGCCACATTTTATTTTCAAATTGTCATTGATTTTCTTACACCCTTTTCTTTCTTAGAATATTTACAATGCTTTAAAAGTGCTGTAATACAACATCCGTGTGATACTGCAGAGGAGTATAATCATGTTTTCAAATTTGTCCGCCTTCTTTCTCCACCCATCTTTAACACGCGCTCATCAGGTCTCGTTTTCATTCCGACTATTTAGTCTCGTTTCGTCTCGTCTCCTTCGTCCCGTGTCCGTCCTATCTCCGTCCCGGCCCCGTCCCGTCTACTTCGTCTCTCTCTCTCTCTCTCTCTCTCTCTCTCTCTCTCTCTCTCTCTCTCTCTCTCTCTCTCTCTCTCTCTCTCTCTCTCTCTCTCTCTCTCTCTCTCTCTCTCTCTCTCTCTCCCCGTCCTATCCCGGTTGACTCGTCCCCATCCCGTTCCGTCTCGGTCCTATCTCATCGTCCCGTCTCCTCCCATCCTATCACGTCCCGTCTCCGCCCTATCTCGGTTCTCCCGCCCCCTTCCCGCTCTATCTCGGCCATCCCGTCTCGGTCCGGTGTGTGTCCGGCACCAGAAGCCGACTCAGTTGCAGTTTAATTAGTGGCTGTCAGTCAGTGAGCGGCCTGCGTGAAATATCCAGCCTCTCTCCGCCGTGTACGATATGGGACCGCGTCGCCGCCAGCGACCCGAATATTTCCGTCCACCGTCCCCTGCAGCGGCCGGCCCGGCGAGTTGGTCTGAACGGCGGGTCCACTGTGCGGCGCGAGCCGGCCCCGCGCCCATCTCCTGCGCCGCACTGTTCACTTCCAGCCGAGGGCCGCTGTCCGTATCAATATTAACCCTTTAATCTGGCCCCGGAGCCGTAAAACGCTACACGGGTGAGAATAGAACAGAGCAGGCGGCGCCCAGTCAGTGCCCAAATTACGTTTATGACTGTGCTTGGAATTTAATATGGCGGTGCGCATCTCAAGCATTGTGATGCAGCGCAGATTAAGGAAGTCGTGACTCGTGATGACAGAGGCTTATTTAGTCTGAAAGCAGACCTAGAGCTTTGTACGGAATAGCTGCAGAGACTAGGACCGCCTCTAACGCCTTGGAAAGGATTCTAAGTTATTTACGAAGTTATTTGTTAATATTACTTTGGTTCATTAGTTTCTGCTCAGTATTTTATTTCATTTATTATGGTAGCTGCTTTTTGGTGGTATCATATGTGCAGTGCGGCTCCCGTGTGTTTCGTGCCAGGTGCCAATCAGTCATGACATGAAATTGAGTGCTTTCAATCTGAAAGACCTTGAAATAATTAATGACGGGGTAATAAAAGCTGCTACATAGATGTTTGATTATTTCTTGATCTTTTGAGGGAGGGCCATATTTGTCGCTCGACCTGGGGTCCACTACTTCTTAAAAAAGCCAAAGTAACCCCATGCGTATTAGAGGCTGATTTTTAGGTAACTCAATCGCATTAGATGTGTGGCACCGCAAACAAATTGTCATATGTTTTCGCAGTTTCTTATCGATTTAATGTAGCCTTTAACCCTCAAGAAGTTGTACAGAAATGGTACGTGTACTCACTGTCAAACTGTTCATATTGCTTATGAGCTGACGTTATTAACCCGCGCACCGACGGGGGGGGGGCGGATATCCGCCCCCCCCTGAGGTTTTTCGCGGATAGCGGGAAAACCGCGGCGCGTAGCGCCGCGAAATTTGGTATGACTATTCTCTCATCAATTTTACACATGGTGTGCAAGTTTGAACCTCCTAACTTTAAAGGTCAGGTCACCAGGTCACTTTGAATGACCCAACCTCAAGTCACTTTTTTGCAACTTTGTCACCGTGCCAGAGCTACAGTAGATGTCGGAGTCCTTTGAAAGTCGCAGGATGTTATTAGGTCATTAGTAGCTACAATTTGTATATCTCGGAATTTTGATGTCGGTGACCTAAGGTCAGGTCAATTTCGCGACCTCCCCATTATAAGTCAATGGGGGAAAAATCAACTCCCTGTTTTTACCACTAAAACGGGTCGGAATGGCCCCATATACCATACATGACTTCACATACGATCAACCCTCACTACCTTGAGGTCTGTTTTGCTGTTGGGCAGCTGTAAGGTCATGTGACGTCATCAAAGGTCACCAAAGGTTTTTTGCCAATAACTCCTTCCAGGAACAAGATACAGCCGCGCGGATGGTCTCATTGTGTTCAGCTCGTCAAGACGCATCGAATGATATACATGATGACCTCGAGGTCACGTGACCTGAGGTCAACCTTTGACCTTGACCTTTCGAGGTCAACATATATATCATTCGATGCGGATTGACGAGAGGATCACGATGATGCCCTTAGTTTGTTCCTATCTTGACTACTTCGAAAGTTATTCGAGAAAAACTCTCTCCATATCTAGCGCCGCCATTTTGACTTTTTCGACCCCTGTGACGTCATCTTTGACCTGACCTGAAAATGACCTTAGTAAAAATTGTAGACCTTGTCCGTGCGTATCCGATGCCGTTTACCGCTTGTCGCTATCTTGCTTCGTTCTCGAGATCTCAGGGGGGGGCGGTCATCCGCCCCCCCCCCCGTCGGTACTAAGTTGGCGCAGACCCCCGTCGGTGCGCGGGTTAATGTTCTAATTGTCCCCAGTTTCATTTTTCTGTTTCTGGATCAGTCAGTCATGCGAACTCACTTTCCACAGGAGACCCTCTAGCTTTCCAATCCCAGCCATCGCACTTCCTCCTCTCCGTCTACCCTCTCTCGAACGATTGGTGGGCCAGCCGCCGGGTAATTTCCTTATGTGTGACGTCACAACCCGGTTGTATGACGTCACCAACGACAGCGGCGGCTCCCCCCGTCTGTCGCGGTCCGCTCGTAAACCGGCATCCCAGCCCGATTGTGCACGGACTTTATGGCGACCGGACACTGGCCGGGGAATTTACTGACTGTGTGGCGGCAGTGTCGTGGCAGGCGACAGCGAACCGGATGCTGTAGGTCGATTTAGATGTGATACAATATTGGTTAGAAAGTGTCATGTAATTTGGTGAAAGTTTGTTTCGCTCACGCAGACACACCTATTGGTCTTTTTATTCATGATTATGGGGAAGTATAGAAATGTAGTCTGACGGTTTTTGAATATGTGATGATCATCCAACAATGACTCAGACTTTTTGCATAGTTTTTATCAGCCATCTTTGTCGGAACTTGCGGCACGAAATTCCTAGTTCAAACGAAGTTTTCATGTCGACGCATACTTTAATCATGAGAAGAGTAAATTCTGTAAATAAGTTATCAAGTCTCGCTATTAGCTGATAAGTCTGACACTATGAGGATGACCTTTCAAGCGTTGATGGTGCGGAGCAAGTGGATATTGGCTGAATATTGCGGTGGCCGGATAAATTAAACATGTATGGAAAAATATAGAAAGGTTTTGATTTACGACATTGCCATGATAAATACCAGGTCTCTGTCCGGTATATCTGCTTACACTCCGACTGAACGTAGTCTGCTTTAACCCATGCTGGCTAACATTCACCATCACGGCTTTCGTTCCAGGTATTCACATCCATCTTCACACTGGAGTGCACACTGAAGGTGATCGCCATCAGCAAGGAGTTTTTCCGCTCCGGCTGGAACATCTTCGACCTGATCGTGGTGGTGGCCAGTCTGGTGGAGCTGTCGCTGCAGAACATTAACGGCCTCTCCGTCCTGCGTGTTCTCCGACTGGTGAGTGGGGCTGGCGGTGCTGCAGGGAGGGCGACTTGTGGTGGGTGATGCAGGAAGTGATGTCGTTGATCTGGAGAAGTAGGAACGGTGGGCTTCAGCATCAGGAACAAAAACTAAATATGAGGACTACAGTGTGCGTCAGTCCGCATTGCTAGCATGACGAGCAATTGTACTTTTCCACATTACCATTCGATGTTGTTCTGCTTTAATATTTGGTACCCAGGTGAAACACAAACAAGCTGGCAATGACATGCATGCTACTACATTCCGTAAAAAAATATTGTCCGTCACTTCGTAGGTATGTTGTCAGGTCCCTTCTGAATCACTGAGCCATGATCATTTGGTCCGTGCTGATACATATTCCGCGGCTTCAAGTGGCGTGTTGATAACGCTGCGTGGCGTGGCTGTGTGTGTTTGCCATCGCCCCTGGTTACCGTCGAAACAGCCGCGGAGGTCTGCTTACTTGTGGCCACCGGGCGACCGAAAAAGGTCACCGCCGGTGGGGCGGCACACAGCTGTGGACAGCCTCACAGTTGTCTTCGACCGGCCGGCACAGTCCGCATAGTGGCTGTGCTAGTCGGCCGGCTATTGAACACGGCCCGGTAAATCAATGGAGCACTGAGGACAAGCCTAGGTGGCGGCTCCAACCCGCCGGCAAATAACAGGTGCCGCGCATTCAATTATGCATGAGTGCCATAGTCCACAAGGATGTTTTTATGGGCTCAAGTTTGTAAAAACAGAGTCCCACCGTCTTTGTTGGCTTTGTTGAAATGTTACCCATGCAATGTTCTGACTAAGCCGACAATGTCTCCGTCCACACTTACCTTGCAAGGTGTTTGCGCCTGAGCGGTTCTATTGACAACATCTCCCAACTCCGTCTTTGAAGTTCTGTCCGCCCTCAAACCCCCACCTTCATTCAGCGGCATCCCAGTCATCCTGGGTCCGTCGGCCACAGGCCGTGCTCCATCCATATTCATTCCGTCCTATCAAAGACGCGGGCGCCGGCCCGACCGAGCAAATCGGGCCATCGGGCGCCAATCTCCCGGTGCTGTCCCGCTTCCCTACGCCGCCGCCGCCGCTGCCTGTCCTCCGCCGGCCGTCCGCCGGCTACTTGGCTAGACGACTGGACCTCGTAAATCAGCGGACGGCGCGTGCGAATGGAGCACTGTTCCCGTCTGTTTGGCTCCGTCCCGCCTTGTCGGGCGCGGCCACGGAGGTAAGAGAGGATGGAACGCGAAAGGCGAGAAAGATAGAAGGCGAGACACGGTAAGGATAGTACGAGAGACGAGAGAGATAGAGCGGTAGGGGATGGTCGGTTGATTTCAATCGACGATCATTACTCACAAGAGAGAAGCGCAGCGCCAAAGTCGAGAAAAATGGTGAAAGTTGGTCATAGAGATTGCGACGACTGGAGGAGTGAAGTGAGAAAGTTTGATCGTTCAAGAAATGGCAATTTCCAACTTGAAAAATTGCGATGCTCCTAATTGAGGATGAGGATTGGAGAGAAAAGAAGCTGAGTGACGAGTGTAGACTGTAGAGCTAGTTGTTTTGAGAAAAAGTGTTGTGCTTTCAGACCAGTTACGCAAATAAATTGACTGTGCCTCGCGGGAGTCCCCAGACCCCATTAATCACCCCCCACAGAAACCCTTCTAGGTCAGTTTCTGAAGTAATTCAGCTACTCTATCGTCATTTCGGGTATACCTGCGTGCGTTCGTGAACGTTTCGGAAGTGTGGTATGGCCCTGGTCAGAATATTCCGCGCCTGAATGCCGCTGCGTTCCGGGCAAGCCGGAATGCATACTGTGCCGCATGGCATAACAAGTTTTCGCTTCTGCCGCTAGATGGCAGTAGAAGTATGCGCCTGAAGGTATGCTGTACCGCAAGGCTTGGAGCGAACAAGTGAGAACGGAGGGGACCGGCGAGAGGCCGCTGTCAAGGCTGGATAATTGTAAAAAGATAAGTAACAGTTCATTGGTTGATTATGACTTTGTAGATTATTTATTTTTAACGTAATTGGTTCAGTAGTAACACCTTTCCCGGCCATTCCAATGCCGCTTTGCCGCGCTGCGCGCCCTCCCGTAGCGGACGGTCTCGGTAGTCCGGTCCCGTCCCGGAGAGACAGATGCCCCACGGCAGTGGTCGGTGGCCGACTCTGTGCCGACTGCTCCGGTCTTCTGCAGCCGGAAATGGTGGCTGCCTCATGCCTGCAGGCCGGGATGTTTATTGTTTATGCCCCCAACGAATCATACCGCTGGATGGCCAGGCGCTCAGATTATTTCCATCCCCTCATCCGTGCTGAGTGCGGGAAATGGTGAAAGAGGGTCTATATTCGATGAAAGGACGGCATGAACGGATTTTTTTTGTCCCTGATTCCTCGTGACGCTCGGAAAAGCTGATGTAACACAGGATCCATTGCAACTATGGCACGTGAAAGCGCAAATATAGTAACTCAAAGAAAACGTGTTCAGAAACGCCACAAACGCCAGACGCGCCAGACTACATATGGTCGCGCCAGACCAACGCCAGACTATACAAGCTTGATACTGATACAAGCCTTGGTACAAGCTGAATACCGTTTTGAAGAATGTATTCTGCGGAGAACCAGCCAGTGGAGCGTGAACTGAGGGAGGCAGGGCGGAGCCGAGCCGTTCGAGGAAGCGGCGCTGTCCGGCGGCCGTCTGGGCCGGACGGCCGGTCGGCGGCGCTCCGTGGCGGGCCGTCGCCGGCATTGGCGGACGGACGAGACGCCGGTCAGTTCCATTTCAGCTGTCGGGGGGCCGGGGCGGCCGGGACAGGCCGTCAGCGGATGGAGATCTGATCACCTCGGACCGGCACCAGCTGGACAATAAGGCGGGATATCACCTGTCAGTGTGGATGACGGTTTTTTGAACGGTTAATATCTGACATGCTAGAAACAGTCAGTTCAAACTGACAACAAATGGATATTTCACAATCTTTGTGACTCTGTTCATTCATTAACCTTCCAGGCGGTGGGGGGGGGAATTTTTTGCCCCCCCCCCCCTTTAGTTTTTTCGATATATCTCGAGAACCGCTGCGCCGATCGTCACCAAACTTTCAGTACCCTCCCGGGAGCAGCTAGCGCACATGGTGACCAAAAATGTTTCCAAAGGCTACGATAGGTTGGCCGCTAATGACGTCAGAGTGACGTCATTTTTGCCATTTTCGACCCAAAAAAAGGTTTCGCGGGAAGAGCTGTCAGGCCTACAGCTTTAGAGATACAGAAAAATGTTTTAGACATAAAAGGTGTGGAATTTAAAGAGCTACAAAACTGCTATTTCGGTTTTTCGAATTTTTTGGATTTTGACCCCCAAAAATCAAAAAATAGATTTTTTGAATATAATAGCCAAAAATCCAAAAAGTTTTTTGAATTTCGAAAAAAACCGGAATATATGTGATAGCCCCTACCGCCTTCTATCTACATACCAAATTTGAGATCGATACCTCTTTTTTTGGCCAAGTTATAGCGAAAAAACTGTTCAAAATTGATGACGTCAAATTTTCAAACTCAATTTTTAGCAATTCTAGACCTCGTAGTGCAAAACAAAGACCACCATTAGACTCCCCGTGACGAGCTGCATCGAATCGATACCCATTTTATGCAAAAATATCAATTTTGAAATTTGACCTTTTTTGACCTGACCTTGACCTGACCTCCACCAGAAAGTGACCTAAACCGTACCTGATGGTCTTATAACCAACACCATTGAGTTGGAAATTAAAAACTGGCCATAAAACATGCATCGCATAACCTTAGTAAAGTTGGGCTCATGTGGTGACCCTTGGTGACCTTTGGTGACCTGACCTATGACCTGACCTGGTATGACCAGTGACCTCTAATAGCAACATATGTACTAGACAACTGGCGCCTTATCGCTGATTTTCGACAAAATGCGTTTTACTCGGTGTTATAGCGCTTTCCCTAGAAGCCCCGTGAACGGTGAAACATTTTATCTTTGACCTGACCTGTGACGTCATCGGTGACCCCTAGGTCAATGAAATTTGGTTTCCCTCGACAAATTTGACAGGGCTATCGAACGCCGTTTGAATTTTCCGGATCCGTCCAGTAGTTTCGGAGATACGGGGGGGGGGGCAAAAAATTGCCCCCCCCCCCCCCACCGCGCGGAAGGTGGCTGGTAGGCCCACCGCCTGCCGGGTTAAGTTATATGAATAAATGTGGTTTCAGTGTTCTGTGTCCAGATTGGGAATTGGCCAGCGCTTATTTGCGTACTTCCTAAGAATAACTGGAAAATGTCCTTATTCAAACACTTTCTACTAATAGGGTGAAAATGAAGGAGAGGAGGGAGAAGGATTGCCCACACCGCTGCGCCCCGTCGTTGTTTTGATGGCGTTTGTATGGAGCCTGTTCTCATGTGACGATCGCAGGGGCGCCATTGGGCGATCTACATATCATACATAAGTGATGCCTGCAGAAACAATATCGCGGAGCGTTGGGCGCAGCGGCGCCGTTACATGACATCAAAGCCTGCCCCGCTGAAGTTCGTCTGCGATTTCTGTCATCCGGCCGTTCCGAATCATGCCCCGAGGAACGCTATCGCAGCTCGAAGCCGCCATACCCTATCGATTTGACATTTGCAAGCATGTGTAAAGAAGCCCTAAATCCATATCAGCTCAAGTTCAGCGCTTCGTGACGGGCGAGATTGGGTCACGACATACGGCCGCGCTGGAAGTGGCGGCCGCGCCGAGCTCGTGGCCGGGGAGGGCTGCTACTGAGCGGGCGGCGCGGGGCGCGGACCAGTTGGGCAGTTACGAGCGGCAGCCGTCAGCGCCGAGGGCCGCGGGGAGACCAGGTGTCCTGCAGGCGTCACTGACCTTTGGCCGAGCACCAATTATAGTGATTAGTGCGACAGAGAGGGGGAGGGGAGGTGTCTGTGGCGGGGGAATCGTCCACCGCAAGCCACTTAACGCAATTGTTTCTTGAGAACGAAGGGGTGAATGCTATAGACGATGTACGAGGTTGATTAAATAATTTTGGTGTTAATTTATGATGCTTGATAATGGCAGGCTGTTTGAGATAGACAAACGCTATTCGTTAGATTTTGAAAGAAAATACCACACTACACGTATGTAAATGTATTGCATCCACTTCGTTCAGATTTACAACACATTTACTGCAACAATACTTACCTGCTACGAGTGCTACCTAACTGAAGTCGCGTGTCTGATGTCTTTCTCAGCTCCGAGTGTTGAAGCTCGCGCAGTCGTGGACGACCATGCGAGTGTTGCTCAGTATCATCATATCGTCTCTGGGCGCCCTCGGAAACCTGACCTTCGTCCTGGTGATCGTGATCTACATCTTCGCCGTGATCGGGATGCAGCTCTTCTCCAACAGCTACACAGCGGATATATTCGAGCCGGATCCAGTACCCCGGTGAGCAATGACAAATGCTCAGATTAACTGCAGATGGCTTACTTGAAAGCAGGATTTCGCTAGCCATTTGAGTTGAAATTTGAGCAAGTGGACGCTCTGGGTTGAAGCAGCGAATATAAATCTTACGCTGTAGGAACACAATGCAGATGTAAGACAGTTGCATTCGTCATCTCTTGTATCCATTTGTTTTGCACAAGGGCAGCGCTGGGTTTTTGTGCATATGTAGTCGCATGCATTATTCATTAAGTTCCCTTCATCAGTTATGTCCGGACGTTACTAGGGGTCGTCCGTTCATTGTTGTCTCACGCCATGAATCTGGAGAAAGAACGAGACTTCCCACAATAACCAATCATGGATGCTTGCTGTGTTTCAGATGGAATTTCAACGACTTTTTCCATTCATTTATGATGATATTTCGCATCTTATGTGGAGAGTGGATCGAGCCACTGTGGGACTGCATGAGGGCGAAGCGTGAAGAGGTAAGCATTCGACTGATAATTTCACTCCCATGAGGTAAACGATGAGCTGATTTTACTTCACAAATAAGATAATTGGTATGTCTACCTTTGCAAATTATCCCAATGTTTCGTTTCTCTACTGTCCGACACACTTTCATTGCTACGCTCAACGCTGTCAACTCACGATTTCCCCGCAGTCGGAGATGTGCCTTGCGGTCTTCCTGCCGGCGCTGGTGATGGGCAACTTCCTCGTGCTGAACCTGTTCCTGGCCCTGCTGCTCAACAGCTTCAACTGCGAGGAGCTGCGCACCAGGAAAGAGGTGGGTGTCCCTCCGCTGCACGAGACGGGCTGGACTGACTGGGTGGAACGATGGTGTGTTACTTTGTGCTGGTGTGCTGGTCGGTATAGATGCCGAACTGCGCTGATTAATTGAGGTTGTTGAGGGGAGAGGTTTGAGCTTCAGGCCCCCGATATGTTTGGTGAACGGTACAAACAACAAATGGTCATTTAATTTGGTAAAATGTGCAGCTGATTTCCGTTATGTTCTAACCCAAAATTTTGGAGCGATTATTTGGCATGCTATATTTAGGGATCTGCTAAAATTAAGGTTAACATTAGGTTACTTCAACCTCTTGAAAGTGTGGGTACGATTCTTTAAAAAGTGACACATTATCATAATCTTATAATCTTGCAATATGATTGGTGAGGTCCTAAATTAGTATCTATGATCACCAATAAATGGTCATTGGGATGTAAGACGTTGAAATACGCGGCAAGTCACAATCGTGGTAACTATCTACGTTTCTTTTCAACGAATTGCCTTCAAGCAGCTCTCGCACTGAAAAAAAAAAAAATAGAGCGCGGAGAATAGCAATGGGACTTCTGCACCTCTCCTCTCTATTGACGGTTGTCTACGATGCTACTGATTTTAGTTATCAGTTTGCTTTTTCACATTGAATACCACTGCAGACAGAAATACGACATAATGCATGATCATTATTTATCTCTCCTGTGTTTTGTGTTTTTAAAGTAACAACATTTTCTTAGGTGTTGTTTTTATCCGCTGGGACTGATAAAAACAAACTGGGACTGGGCTGTCCCCGTACAGCCCAAATCTTTAACGAGCTTGCAAAAGATGACGTATGTCATCACTGTCAACCGTGGAAGCCGAATGGCTACCCATCTACGCTGGAGTACGAAAAACATCATCTAACAACATTTTCCAAGTGGTTTTAGCACACTATGTGTATTTTGCTTAGGATTCGTATGTGTCAGTGTTTATGTGGTGTGATCTATTCCCTTTTGACCATTTACTCATCAGTAACAGTATTTTGTATTCGTCGTTTTTAATCCAATGTCTAGGAGGATGAGGTATGTTTTACAGAGAATGACAACAGTTCATGACGTAGATAGATATTGCAATATGAGTGCGGCATGCGTATGACAATGGCCAGGATATTACGGAAACGGGACAGCAAGAAAATAATTACTTTTTATGCCTCTCATTTGTTTATTGTAATATTTCCATTTAATGACATTTGTTAATGTTATTAAGACTTGCGTGAAACATAATGGCGCAGCTGCTATGAGTACCTCCACCCTGGCCCGATATTGAAAGGGCATTTTTGGCATGTTTTCTGATTTACCGACCATTTTAAATTTATTCTGTTTTGCACTAATTCTTAGCATACCTTCGAAATGTTGTAACATCTATTCAATTTTTATCCAAAATTATTTTAAGTGATCGGTTTTCCCACAAAACAAGTTGTTCACAATGTACAAATAACAAAATGCACTGTCCCAAATGCTACAATCCGCTGAAAACGGAAATATGTTGAACCCATTTCAAATTAAAGTGACAGGTAAAATGTTAGCTTGTTTATTTAATGATAAAAGTGAGATCATTAGGTACCATGTGCCGTTAGTGATATTGCATATGTAAACATGCCAATGAACGCTTAAATGTACACAAAAGTATAGTTTTTTTGTGCCTGTATAGACTTTTTGAATTATAGACGTGATATCTGCTCCTTGATTTTTGTAACTGCATTTTGAACCCTCAGAGCGATAGCAGTTTTTAGGTCTACAGTGGTTTTGGTCGTTAGTCAACTTATTCCGAGATTAAGTGCAGACATCTTGAATGACGTCTTGATAGCATGCTGTCATCCCGTTGATAGTCGAATGCATCGATTTCTTCGTTTATCCGCGAATTCCGAGTCTATAGCCGAATGCATATTTGACGGGAACTCCGACCCGCTGTTCATTCACACTGGCCGACCATCACATCTATATTGTAGGTGACCTCTGACCCCGGCTCGGCTCTCGTGGGGCCCTGAAATCTCCCCGAGCCCGGCCGGGAAAATATATCCCGTGCTATCGCCACATGGGATATATTCATGTACAACCAGCCATCGCCAGCCTTTGTGGTAACCTAATCATTCTGTGCGGACTCTCTCGCCCGTCGGCATCCATTCCATCCTCTGGCCGCCTGTTCCCACCCGTCCATTTATCCGCCGCTCCTCAGCACGTGTTGTTGCGCGGCGGCCGGCGGGCCCGCCGCACGGGGGTCGTCTGTGCATGTGGCCGGTGTCGGTGCGTGTTCCCAGGGTCAGGTCGCGCCCCACGGCGGCCCCGGTATCGATCTCGTCACTCTGCGGCGCCGGCTGCGCTACCTGAGACGCCGCCTCGTCCCACCGGCCGGCCGGAGAGCCTCGCAGCCCTCTCCTCGACCGGCGCGGCGAATGGAGCTGCGAGCGGAGCTCAAAACGAGCTCGCTGAGTGAAGGCTTGGACCGAGAATGCGCCAGCGCCTCTACCATGCGCTCACACGCCGGACGAACGGCGTCCCCTCTTCTGAGAGAGTCCTCAGCTGACAGAATGAAGGGCTGTACGGGCTGTGATCAGTTACCCAACGAATACACTGCGCAGCAAAGGAGCGATGGCAAGAAGCACATTTCGCCTGGCTGTTCAGCGCTGGGCTCCAGTCAGGTAACGTAGTTACGCTCAGTTGAATGAGTTTACAGGTTGTTCGGTGGCTGGAACTTCTGACAAGTTCACGCATTGGTGACGGTCGCGTCGGGAGGCACAACTGCATCCATTAGCTACGGTGGTGGCTTTAGCTCGTCGATGGAGGCTTCTTGACTTGCTACAGGTCTTCAGGAAAAACATCGGTACTTCTGCTCAGGGGTGGTCGCGGGAATTGAAAACTAACGCAGGACGTAGAGGAAAATTAGATTGGACTGGATTTACATAACCCGTTGGTTCGGTGGCACTGATTCGCCACAGCCCTAACGGTTTGCTTCGGAGAAGCTTTGCTGCTCAGCTCTCCTGGTGGTGGGATTTCAGACTGCTCACTGTATTTAGTGCTTTCTCCTGGTTCTGACGGTATTCCAGTTACTTGGGCCGGACATGCTTCGTACCCGTCATTTCTCACATTTGCTTGCCTTTTGTATCTAACTGCATACTTAACAGCTTTGTAGTTTCTTTTACAAACTCACCTTATTGTTTGTTTAAAATACCAGTAATGTGTCCTAAGAAATCAAAGGTACTGTACTGGCGATTTTTCTTCAAACAGGTGTGCAATTTTATCTGATTCTCATTATTGTTTTAAGATCTTTCTCTTTAGATATTTTCTTCCACTCTCGTGGAAGTTCCACTCTCGAGAGTTCCACTCTCGTCTGTTTCATTAGCACATTTAAACGGCGCCATGTACTATATTTTCCACTATGACCCTCTATTCGGTTTCATTATTCTCTGCATGACGGCGAAACATTTGCCTCAATCTGTACTATTATCGTCTATCTTCGCTTTTATCTATTTTATTGCTGCTCTGAGCGCAAAATCGTTTATTTTATCCCGACAACATTTTCTATTCGACCCACAACTAATGGATACAAAGTGTTCAACTCTTATTTGTGCCATCAAACTTATCACTGCGCTTCCTTCTCTGTCTTGATTTCCCCACTCGTCACCCTGCCTCACCTGATTCTAACACCTCCCGTGGCTGCTGATTGCAGGAAGCCAAGGGCAAGTCGAAGCTGGTGCAGAGCGTGCAGCGTCTCAAAGGCTACATCCGCAGTCACCGGGACCCCGAGTCTCGCCAGAGGGAGGTAATAGCGGCCTTCGAGAGCGCTCGCGTGGACCAGCCGGCGCGCTGTGCACTGCCGCCGCTCCCCGTCTCCGTGTCGGTGCCCGAGATCCGGCGCACACTGGACGAGACCGACCTGCTCTCGGACAGCTCCGACCCACTGCAGGCCGGCTACAAACAGATCAACGCAGGTCAGTGCCGGCTGCCGGACACTTAGTGCTGGCTGTGGTATATTTGGGGAGTTGAATGGTGGATATGGTGTTCTTTAAATTGGCACCGCATCACCGATAAATTCGTTTTTTTTTTGGAAAAAGTAAAGACACGTTTTTTGCTTAGTCCTTTATCTCAACAACCAACATTTGTGACAGCGTGTGAAGCCCTATCAACATACGTATGGAGCATGGAACGCCTACCCGCCCCGAGAGAGCTTTGATGCAAATGTTGCTTCGATATGAATCCACAGTTAGTAAATGGTAACTATACTAAGTCACATTTATTAACTTGGAAATGGTAACATATCTTCCTTCGTTAGTCTGTCTATCTTCTGTTTAGATGTATAATTCGATTTTTATGATGCAGACAGCATGTGCCTGTAACATATACATCGTACACGAGTGTTATTTGTTAGTATAGTGGTACTAAGACAGTCTGTTAAATGGTTACTGCGGCTTTTATAACAAGTTATAGTTCGTTTTTTTTTCAAAAGGACGCTGGCTCCAAGTATGTTTTTCGAACAAGCACGTGTTTTAGCGAGCAAAACGGGCAAAAACTGAACCTGAGAAAATCGAACATCGACTAATTTTAACATGTGATTTCTTCCCGATAATTTCCATATGTGCGTTTTGGAACCATATATGAGAGCAGTGTTGACGTCATACTGTCGAACATGTATTGCAATGTAACTTATAACTATCATGGACGGAACTGCTTACTCGATTATAAGCTCGGCAACAGTGAAAAACTAAGTTTCACCCAAATTCGTTGACACTTGTCCCATTGCACGGACATTTGGGTGCCTGCTGCCACCAGTGACGTCATCATAGTATGTTCATTTTTAAGAAACAATTTCCAGCTAGTTACCGTGCACAATTTGAAATCGGTTATTTTTTCGGTAAGAAATTCTTCGCCAGACACTGAAGCTGCCAAAACTCACGTGAGAGCTTCGATATTGAACTTTGAGCCAGCGTCCTTTTGAATAAAAACGAACTATATATAGTTATAGTTAGTCTTTTAACGGGAGTAAAGTTTAGTATAAACCATCTTCTTAGGTATTTGCTTAAACACTTGATAATTCCTTTCGATGTAATTTGGTGTCGTTGTTCGTTGTTTACGACTGTGTTTGTGTAGATGTTCAAGTACAATGTAACAATGAAAATGTTCTCCAGACATATAATGTGCTCCTGAATGACATTACTTGCGCTAATGGTCCGTACCTTTCATCGTACTGCATGATCCTTACGTCCCAGTTGCTCCATCAGCGCAGTGTACATTGTACCTATATTCAGAAATTCGCACGGATGGTCTGCTCTCGCCGCCATCTTGTTGGCCCTGTCTCCATTTTCGGCTCTGTTAGCGGCGCTGGCGGCGCGCGCCGCATTTGTCTAAGAAGCGCCGTCGTCGCCGCATCTCGGTGTGCATGTGGCCTGCTGACCGTGCTCCCCGCTCTCTCTTTCTCTCTCTCGTTTCTCCCTGCGTCTGTCCCGCTGTCTGGCGCTGTACCATGCTGCTCGTGCGGCGGGCGGGCGTCACCACCACAGAGCACTTCTCCTCACCGTCAACGTCGCCACTCTCAGAGGTGGGACCGCCGGTCACCCGGCTCGCCCCGCCGGCCGGCACCGGTGGCGTCTTCAAGAGCCCCTCGACTGTCTCCAACTGGTCTACACTGGCCACCTACGTGGAGAGCCTGCGTGGACGGGACCAGACGGGCTCCAAACCGGAGCCGACGGCCGAGCAGCAGCAGCAGCAGCGCAAACGGGAGCCCAACGACTGCTTCCCAGTGGGCTGCTACAACAGGTGCGGGGTCAGAGAGGGGTATATCGGATCAAAGTGCATAGTCTCTCGTCTTGGTTGTTATTTCTTGCGGCTGTTTTTATTGGTAGGACAAAAGCTAAAAATTCTTGGAATGTTTTGTGCAAATGAGTCAGAATTTTTATGAACAAACTTGTGTTGGAATGCGTAAACAAATTGCCTCATTTTGCCCAGACCTGCCCACATACCGTCGCTGTTTGGCCCGTGTTTCAGGTTCCCGTGCTGTCAGGCGTTTACACGGACTCCGGTGTACCGGCGGTGGCACCGATTTCGCACCGTGGTCGTGCGCTTCGTGGACAACTCGTACTTTGAATGGGTGGTGCTAGTGATGATAATTGCCTCGAGCATCGCGCTCTGCTTCGAGGACAAGTACTTGTATCAGAGGCCGCAGCTGAAACGCTACTTACGGTGGGCCAATCTGGTGTTTGCGTCTCTCTTTACTGTGGAAATGGTTCTGAAGTGGGTGGCCTTCGGTTTGAAGAAGTACTACTCCAATGCCTGGACGATTCTCGACTTCATCATCGTTGTGGTAAGACATGGAGCTGCTCTCTGGCCTTTTTAATTACAACGCTACGTAGTGTTGATAGTAACTACTCTCACGCAGTTATCATTTAACCATATCTGTTAAAATTTAAGATGAATTTAATTTTATTTTGTGGTAACTGTCAAAATCGTTTTAATCATGATGCAGATGGTTGTGCTATCGTTGTGCATTTGAAGCTATCGTTAGCATCCCTGTTGCCAATGTGTGGTCGCCTGGTTGTGCTAATGATTTGCGTGTTCTGTCTAACCATGTTCACGTTACAGGTCGAGAAGAATAGCTTTTTCAATCTTGTGTAGATGCCTACCGCGCTAAACATGAAGTTAAAACAAAAATTTATACACGAAATTCGAAATTTGCCTTTCTAATAGACATTTTCTGAAAGTCTAGAAGTTCCTGTTTCATCTTAAATGCCGAATGTCAGCTTCAAATTACAGTGACTCTCGGACGATCAAAATCAATTTTGGCTTCACATTTTACCTGCCACCCTCGCCAGATAAACTCGTCTGTAAATATATAAAGCAACGATAAGGCATTGGGTCCAGCGGCGGCCGTAACTTCTGTCCTCCTTACCATTCGGAAAATGCCTCGGGCTGGCCATTTGGGGGCCAAACGATGGCCATCCATCGCAGGACGGTGCCGTGCTCGGGCTGATTTCTCTCCCCTCTGCCCCGCTCCCTTCCTCTCTCTCTCTGTGACGTCCCCGAGGCAGAGCGACCAGCCAAGTCCGGTCACGCGCCATGGAATGGCCCTTAACGTTGAGCTAACGTCCAAGAGTCTGAAAATTCGGCCGCCCCCACCCGCCGCCGTGTTGCTCGTCTCGGCCGAGCTGAGCGGTCGTCCATTGCTTTGATGACTGCTGCCCGGCGCTGTGACAATGACCGAGCGTCATCAGACGTCATCCGGGCGTCATCAGACGTCCTCAGGCCGTCGTCAGCGGCGCCAATCAGCGGCGCTGACGCGGCCCGGTCGAGCGTCACCACCCGGAGTCTCTCGGCCGCGTCTGTGCTCGTTTGGTCGGTTTGTGATGCATGTGAACACCTCTTCAGTCGCCCTATTTCTATGGGATGGTGAACAGTTTTTCCTGTACTTGTTTTGCACTGTCTTGCCTTGTCTATAGTGAATACACCCCCGCCCCCACTGCGCCGACCGAGGCCACCTAGTGGTGATCTCCGTCGGACCACGTCGGGTCATGAATTCCTTCTGGCCCCAGGCATCCATCTTCAGCCTTGCCATAGAGGAGAACGAGACACTGGTCGCGCTCCGTTCGCTGCGAACACTGCGCGCCCTCCGACCTCTCCGGGCTATCTCTAGGTGGCAAGGAATGAAGGTAACCGTGCTGTGTCGGTCCGCCTCGCGGCGCAGCTTCGCGCGGTCTCCACCAGGGCGGCGCCACCGTCCGCCCGGCCGGCAACAGGTGCCGCCGGGCGGACCGCGGCGTTCACGCCGCATTGGACGCCAATCCAACGTGGCGTCCAACTTTTTGGCCGCCGCCGCTGCCGCCGGGCGGGCAGAGTGGCGGCGCCAGGTGGAGAGAGCGCGGAGCGGCGCTGGTCCGATGTCAGTACACTGGTCAGAGGCCCTCAGCAGACTGCTGCTGCTGCTGCAGCAGCTGCTAAAGGCCATGGGAGAGCGGCCGCTGCCGTCCGGGCAGTGGCCGCTAGTTCAGGGGGATGCCGCACACAGGGGAATATTTCACTGCTTGAATGAGCGTTCTTTCGGCATCACAATAAAATAATGTTCTGATACGGCTCGATTCAATGATTCATAAATTTGGCTTTCAAATTTGCATCATTTCGTTTTCAACCTCATCTTATTCCATGCATGTCAGCACTTCCTCAACTTTGGTATCAAACTTAGAGAACACTTTGAATGTTGGGGAATTTCCTGATGTGAGGTAGATCTTCTCTAGCTGCTGTTCCACCTGTCCCAGTTTGGTTATCAATAATCAATAATGTCATCTAAATTCATGCCTTTTGTGCTACATCCATGACAAATCAACACAATACATATTCATCGTTCACGAGCATCTTGCATGTGTTATTTGAAATGAACAATTGCTTGCGCTGTGCGGGGTGATGTGTTTTACGCATTTCGGGTCTGAATGGAAACGATAGTTGAATGCTTACATACTGTACATAAAGTGCTCACTCAAAGTGGGCCACTTAGGATCTAAGCAAAATGCGGCATGAACATATTTTCTCTTAGATATTCTTAGTGTACGATTGGTATTGTAAACGAGCTAGTTCTACCTCGCTATATGCAGGTTTGTTCTGTATGATAGTCTTTATTGTATGTGCATTTCGACTCATGAAAATTCGCTCAATTGCAGTTTTTAACAGAAAGCGGCTATGAATGGGTAATAACTATATTCACTTCGTACTTTGTCGACGCTTTTGTCAGTCTGTAAATTCCACAGGGGAGCACTGCTGCTTCAACCCTATTGGCCGTAGTGTCTAACGGTGGCGGCCATATTGCGCAGACCAGGAACCGGCCGCCGCCTGTGTTGAGGAATAGGGAATTCGGGATCTCGATTTACGTTTGTGGCCGCCGCATCCGTTACGTTCAAGTTACGTAGATACGGTACCCGGCATCTTACGCAGAATTGAGTGGGAAACACGACCGTATCTTCAGAATTCCTCAAATTCACTCGCCGGACCTACATTTGCCCCGGCCGAGGGGGTTGATTGAACCCACCCCGCTAATGCGCCGCTAATTAAGCTAGAATTAAGCGGTAAAGTGGTCGTACGCGGCAAAGTATAATGCAGAGTGACTGGTAGGAACCCGCTGTAAAGGTCTTGGGTCAACCGGTGACCTCTGAGGTCAGGTCAAGTGATCTAAGGCACGGGTTCGGTTTTTGGTAAATAACTTCGCCAAAAATGGCCGTATAGCCGCAATTTTGGCATCATCGTGTTCTGCTAGCTCAGGCGCATCGAGTGATATGCTTTTTGTTCGGGTCAGGTCAACTGAGGGTGTTGACCTCAGGTCAAGGTCAGGTCAGCACTCCCAGGTCACGAAGTTGGTCGAAAGAGGTCATGTCGCATATCATTCGATTCGGTAGGTCTTCCTGAGTCCATTGGTGGCTTTCCCGACTCGCTAGCTCAATTTGATCGGGAATTATTGAAGAAAAATTGTGACCCTTGTGACGTCACAAATGACGTCACGCAAGGGCAACAATGCAAATATGAAGCATAGAACCTTGCAAGGAGTGCATGAAATCATGATTCTATATGCTTGATATAGTTTCAGATCATTCCCGGCGCTAAAATAGCAATTTCCATATTTCCCCATAGACTTATAAGGGTTTAACGTAAAAGTTTCCTGTATCTGAGGATTTTTAAAGATGTCACCTTGTTCTCCACTCAATTCTGCGTAAGATGCCGGGTTCCGTGTCTAAATAGCTTAAACGTAACGGATGCAGCGGCCGCAAACGTAAATCAAGGTCCCGAATTCCCTATTCCCCAACACAGGCGGCGGCCGCTTCTTGGTCTGCGCAACATGGCGGCACCGTTGGACACCATCTGGCGGCCGATGCGCCTTCCACATTATAGAGTTCAGTGGTAAATTCAGACATACAAACGACTCGCGGCCATGCACCGCTTACTCTGACGATGGCGCCGCCCGCACGTGTACCTGCGGTTCGCAGATCGTCGTGAACGCCCTCATGTTCGCGATCCCCTCCATCTTCAACGTGCTACTGGTGTGCCTGGTGTTCTGGCTCATCTTCTCCATCATGGGCGTGCAGTTCTTCAGCGGCCAGTTCTACAAGTGTGTCGACGATGACGGCGAAAGGCTGCCCGTCTCGGTACGTGAGCGATAGACTTGTGTTTGTGCTCGATTTGGTTGATTTAAACAGATGAATCAATAAAACTGCTTAAGATGTTTTGGAGCTCAGGGGATGTGTATAAGCGTTTGTCCGATGCGTTTCAGGTGGTGAACGATCGTAACGACTGTGGCCGCCTTAATTACACCTGGGTCAATTCCAAGATATCGTTCGACAACGTGGGGATCGCGTATCTGGCTTTGTTTCAAGTCGTAAGTTATCCCGGCAGTTGCTGGGGTATTTCGCCACCCACCGTTTGCTGGGGGGGGGGGGGCGTTAAACGCCCCCAGCCGATAACTCGAGAACCAATTGGCGCAGCGAAACGCACGAGGCGGCAAACGAAAGAACGCGACGAGACGCTTCAGATGAGTACTTTAAAGTTGAATTTTGAGGTCACAGGTCGGGTCAAGGTCAGGTCAAACACCTGAAATCGGGCTTTCAGTAGCATGGACTTCAGGACTTCGCAATGGGTGCCTCTCGTCATAAACTCTGTCAAAACGGTGCACAATCCATCATATAAGGCCTACAAGAGTGTCAGCTCCATGTAGGGGTCAGTCAAGCATAGGTCAGGGTCAAGGTCAGGTCAACCGGGTAGGCAAATATCCCCGAAAATCAAAACTGATATTCGCAGCCTGTGACACATGTTTTATGGGTAATTTGGGGCGTAGAACACGATGGTGACATTCATTTTATCATATGTGTACATACGTGTTTGGCTCAAAAAGTTCAATTTAAGAAATGCATGTATCATGGTCGTGAAGTAGTCACGAGAAATTGCCAAGATTCAGTTCAAGATTTTGGAAAATGCGGAACGATAATCAATAATCGAAGATAGCCATTTGATTGTTCATGGTATTGGCAGTCTAATGGCGTTTACGGCATGTCTGTATGTCTATTCTGTGATTTTATATGATTTTTTGAACATATGCCTTATTTGGTCGAAAAGTCAGAAATCATGACGTCACTAAAACTTCGATATCTCAAAAATTTTCCGACCGATTTTTTTGAAACTTTGTCACAATACACTTTAATCAATTCCCTACAGGTACCCAAAATTTGGCGCGCCTGCGGCGCGCCGTTTTTATGCTATGGCCCGGCAAAAAAAGTGGGGGCGTTTAACGCCCCCCCCCCCAGCAACTCGCGGGTTATCTGATTGTGATCATACACCATGCGTAGCTGAAGTGCGGATAATGCATGCAATGGAGCATTCGCACCGTGTCCGTAGCACCTGTCCGTAGCAGCAATCGTAAATAGATAAACAATTATTAAGTGCCTTTCTATTTTGGCCGGCTCAGTTGACCCATGCTGCGTATTTTTAACAGCATGAAACAAGTCTATGTTTGTTCCCCCGTCAATGACTCATCGATTTGTACTGGTTGCCCTAGTCTATGACTGACCAATCGCTGAAAGCAATATCACCGGCCGCATGTGTCCGGACGTTCCAAGTTTTTTTTCGTCATCCAGGTTTTCCATAGAACAATAGTCAAAATCACTCAACCCTTCCGATTTTTTTTTTTTTGGCAATGGACCTTACTTACCGGTATTTGACTAGACATATTTGACGCCCCGATACCAGGCAACATTCGAGGGCTGGATGGAAGTGATGGCGGACGCGGTGGACGCGCGGGGGGAGGGTATGCAGCCAGAGCGGGAGGCCAACCTCTACGCCTACATCTACTTCGTCGTGTTCATCGTCTGCGGCAGCTTCTTCACTCTCAACCTCTTCATCGGCGTCATCATCGACAACTTCAACATGCTGAAGAAGAAGGTGGGTCGGGTCACGGATAAGAACCGAATGACCATATGAAGATGCAAGTGTCTGTGTTTAAACACGTGTTTTAACGGTTTATAGCTGCATTAGGGAGCTTCCGATTAGTTGCTTTGCTTTATTGTTCGTTATACTGGTTGGATTTGGTGGTAACTATTGGAACTTGGATGCTGTTTACAGTACGAGGGTGGCGTTCTGGAGATGTTTTTAACGGACAGTCAGAAGAACTACTATACGGCACTCAAGAAGCTTGGTAGGAAGAAGCCACAGAAGGTGATCCGGCGCCCTCTGAACCACTACCACGCCCTCTTCTATGACATTGCTGTCTCTCGAAGGTGAGACATAATCCACATGCATTTGTCGTCCAGAAATGGTGCTGCGTGAGTGCACATACCACGCATTCATACCAACGAAGCCGGAAACTGTAAATTCACATACGGCTGTTAATTGTTTTTTATGATTTTGTTAACACTCACCATCAAAGTGTACGCCTACTCCTGTTCAAAAACTCGGCACTTGAAGATAATCACTGAATGTTTCTTGCCTGAACGAGTGAATGCCGTATTTTCAGGTTCGAGATAGCCATATTTGTGATGATTTTCCTGAATATGGTTATCATGGGTATAGAGCACTACGGTCAGCCCTCCTCCGTGGCCTCTGTTCTGGAGCTGTTCAACATCCTCTTTACTACCATCTTCTCACTGGGTGAGTGGTCGCTCTCACTGGGTCAGAAATTGTTCTCACTTCGTAAGTATGTAGTGGTGCCTGTGATGAGCGTAACACGAAATGTTATCATAGCAACATCAGAATGAACAAGCGAATTGTTTGTACTGCTTTGCGAATATAAATAAAACAGAACAGCGTGATTATACTGCAAATTGAAGGAAATGCTTCCATTTACAGAAGTCTGCTCGATTGTTTATTTTCCGTAGCATACTCTGACCATGTATCTTCTTTCTGTTTTCAGAGGCTCTGGTGAAAATAATCGGACTGCGTCTCCATTACTTCACGGTGCCCTGGAATTTGTTTGACTTTATACTGGTCGGACTCTCGATCTTCAGCCTGGTCATAGAGGCGGAACACTTTAACACAGAGTTTCCGATCCCGCCCACTCTGCTGCGCGTCGTGCGCGTCTTCAGGATAGGCCGGATACTGAGACTCATAAAGGTGAGTCTCGCAGGTTTTTGTGACGCGTTCTTATAACCAGGTGTCAATGGTATCCTTGCCCTCATCCTTTCTCCTGGTTGGTGGTGGTAAATTATCTAATTGCTTAGTTGAGTTCATTTTTGTCTTGATTCGACTTCGATTATCACTGAGTTTGCGCCGTTTTCTAGTTTGGTTTGTTTAGTGATGAACGTATAATCTTGAAGTGCATGCATTTAAGACTTGGTGTTGATGAAAATGATATCGATTAAATAATTTTATTCGTTAATTCCGTAGATGTAATGCAGCATGACAATCAAACCACAAGCATCGATAAAACTTTGTATTGTAACCTACGTAAATGATAAATCAGCGGTACCGACTATAAAAAAGTAAACGTCGAGGATTACGCAACCCCAACCGTCTATTTCACCATGGCGGCATGGCACGAGTCTCTGTAGATAGATTGATGCAGGGGATCGATGCATGCACCGTCACTTGTGCACCCCTGCGTGGTAGTCTGTGTTGACGGCGACGCCCGGTCGGCAGGCCGTGATGGACGTGCGGAAACTGGCGATGGCGCTGGTCATGTATGTGGCCTCCGTGTGCCACAACCGGCCCCTGTACCGCAGTCCGACCAGGAAATCATCAGTTAAACAAACAACTGCGTCTGTGTTTGATGATGGTGACTAACCCTAACACTAACACAGGTGGTCGTCCGACTCGGCTGTGCTGTTCCAATCGTCGGTCGGCATTGGCAGCTGGTGCTGTCAATGTGTGTGGCAATATTAGGGCTCTGAAATGTGAATGTTATCTCAAGTTCATGAGTATATCTACCCGTGTATACTGTATCTCCTATATGCTGTTCTTCGTGTTGTTCGCAATTGTTCTTGGGTAGTTCGACTTTAAAGTCATGCGCCATTCTCTATCTGTTTTTTATTTTGTTTTATTATCTACACTGACCTCAGTGCTTCAGTTACGAAGTCACTTGTCCATTGTGCTTTGTTTTGTCTTTGTTTGTTTTGTTTTATTGGGTTAGGCCCTTTCGGTCGACAAGACCATTGCAGAGCCGGAAGGATGATAGGAATTAGGGGGAGACATTGGTCTGGGCAGGCACCCTAGTGAGTCGCCGGGGCTGAGCCCGTCCAGAGGACAGGCCACCCAGCCCCTAGGCACTCACTGCACCCGGCTACGGGGTGCGCTCCCTCAGGAGCAGCGGTGCCGCTCCAAGGGAGCAGCCCGCATGAGATAAAGTTGCCTGTCCAGCCCGGAAGGGGGTTGCGGCATGGAGGAGAAGGATTTCCGTATCCTGAGGATAGAAGCACGGATAGGTGTGTTTTGTCTTCTTTGTGCTGCCTTCTTTGTGTTGTCGATGTTGAAGTCAGACTCAGACCCCAGCGTTCTTGTCTCCTGACATGTAGGCGTCATGCTTCGGGATGATGTTACTATCTCCTGTTGTATGCGATTATTATCGACAGCTCCCACTCAGAGAAAAACGTTGATCTAAAGAAGATTGAAGTAAGTTAGCGAGTGTACATTGAAAACAGCAAGTACGCGGTACTTAAAAAAGCACAAAAAAATGCAATATAGGAAGACACAACACTAGGGTAACATGAATGTCTTCTCTTTCTTCTTCGTACTTTTTCGACCATTTCCATGGTTAAGCCATAATTTTGTCTGCTCAGCGGTCTTCTACTCATTTCCAATTAGTTGTCGGTTCTATCCATAGTCGATACGTTTTTAGGCTAGCCAGTAGAGCTTTTTTATTCTGGTAATGGGTCCAACTTTTTGTTTGCCGACGGCCGTAACGATCGGGACCCGGTCCTCCATTTGCTGTCTGCATTCCTCGACATAATGACCAGTGTTTGTGTTTGCGAACACAGTGCTCCAATGGCAGGGCCACCAGCCATAGCCGCCGTCATAAGTCACCCGAGTTGGTGTGGAGTTCACGTTGATGTGGCCACTTTCCCGACCTTGACAGGCGGCGAAGGGCATCCGGAAGCTGCTGTTCGCCCTGATCGTGTCCCTGCCGGCGCTCTTCAACATCGGCGCCCTGCTCTTCCTGGTCATGTTCATCTACGCCATCATCGGCATCGCGCTGTTCGCCAACATCCGGCACAGCGGCGTCATCAACGACATCATGAACTTCGAGACGTTCGGCAACAGCATGATACTGCTGTTCAGGTGCGGCTAATGTGGCTGCTACTGCCACTCCCGGGCTCGTGGAAGCGCAATAAAGATGAGAGGTTAAAACGGATGATGCGTTAACGTTATTGCCGCATGCGTTATTGCCGCATTGGCTGTAGCTGTTTCAGTGTCATTGCCTTGCGATGTGTGGCCGTCTGTTGACCACGTTCTATTTCAGGCTGATCACCTCCGCCGGCTGGAACGACGTGCTGGACCCGCTGATGGCTCAGCCGCCCGACTGTGACCCGAACCTGACGGCCGAGAACGGCGACATCCTTCCGTACGGCGACTGCGGCCAGCCGCTGTTTGCCATCATCTACTTCGTCACCTTCATCGTCATCAACTTCATGATCGTCATCAACATGTACATCGCCGTGATCCTGGAGAACTTCAACCAAGCGCACCAGGAGGAGGAGATCGGCATCGTGGAGGAGGACCTGGAGATGTTCTACGTGCGCTGGGCCAAGTGAGAAAGCATAGAAGAAGCCGACATTCTAGTACCTTTGGTTTTACAGGTTTTAGAAGGTTACGGGAGGGTTTTACTGGGATGGAAATTCTCACGTTTCTCCATTCGCCTACATGTAACTACGACGATCCTTCATTTCCTTTACTTCACTGGATTTAACATGCACTGTAAGGTTGTCTGCTTCACACCAGTTAACATTTTATTGCCTCAAGATATAGTTTATCGCCCGTCATGACAAGGCGATCCAATGGAGTCCCGCGGGCCCAATCGTCGACCCGATAGTTGTCAACTCGACCCGGTGTTCCACTTCGATTCCGATAACCTCTTGTCGTCCTCTGCCCCCAGATACGACCCGCACGCCACTCAGTTCATCAACTTCTCTCAGCTGTCCGACTTCATAGCGTCTCTGGATCCGCCGCTGGGTATCGCCAAGCCGAACACGGTGGCGTTGGTCAGCTTCAACCTGCCGATCGCGCGCGGCGACAAGATCCACTGCCTGGACATTCTGCACGCGCTCACCAAGCATGTGCTCGGACACGTCGAAGAAACGGAGGAGTTCCATAAGGTACAAACTTTGGCCGCCCATGTTCGCTGCGGAGTGACTTTCGGCCCTCGAGTGAGGGCCGTGCCGCCTTGGTCATACATAAACAGCATAGGTGAACTGAAAATTTTCGGTAGACTGCGAAATTCGCGGAATGCACTGCCAAGTCAATATTGTATCACCTTTATCCCGCGAGTTGCTGGGGAGGGGGGCGTTAAACGCCCCCACTTTTTTCGCTGGGCCATAGCATAAAAACGGCGCGCCGCAGGCGCGCCAAATTTTGGGTACCTGTAGGGAATTGATTGAAGTTTATTGTGACAAAGTTTCAAAAAAATCGGTCGGAAAATTTTTGAGATATCGAGGTTTTAGTGACGTCATGATTTCTGAGTTTTCGACCAAAAACGGCATATGTTCAAAAAATCATATAAAATCAAGGAATAGACATACAGACATGCCGTAAACGCCATTAGACTGCCAATACCATGATCAATCAAATGGCTATCTTCGATTATTGATTATCGTTCCGCATTTTCCAAAATCTTGAACTGAATCTTGGCAATTTTTCGTGACTACTTCACGACCATGATACATGAATTTCTTAAATTGAACTTTTTGAGCCAAACACGTACACATATGATAAAAGGAATGTCACCATCGTGTTCTACGCCCCAAATTACCTATAAAACATGTGTCACAGGCTGCGAATATCAGTTTTGATTTTCGGGGATATGTGCTTACCTGGTTGACCTGACCTTGACCCTGACCTATGCTTGACTGACCCCTATATGGAGCTGACACTCTTGTAGGCCTTATAAGATGGATTGTGCACCGTTTTGACAGAGTTTATGGCGAGAGGCGCCCATTGCGAAGTCCTTAAGTCCATGCTCCTGAAAGCCCGATTTCAGGTGTTTGACCTGACCTTGACCCGACCTGTGACCTCAAAATTCAACTTTAAAGTACTCATCTGAAGCGTCTCGTCGCGCTCTTTCGTTTGCCGCCTAGTGCGTTTCGCTGCGCCTATTGGTTCTCGAGTTATCGGCTGGGGGCGTTTAACGCCCCCCCCCCCCCCAGCAAACGGTGGGTGGCGAAATACCCCAGCAACTGCCGGGTTATAACAGACGCTGCACCACATTGTTGTCTCCTACCATCTCAGTCGCATTGATTTGTTTTCTAAACCTGTGACAAGGTGGAAAACAACGCCGTCAGAAATGGCGCTGGATGTTTTTAAGCGCAGAGGAGTGGCAGCCTGCCTTTAGTCCTTTATCGAGCTCGACCGAAGAACGCTTCCGGAATTCAAAGGATACACTAATGACGTTCGAACTGAGACTAATGCTCGACATCTCGAAAGCAGAGGAGGCACGATGATTCAACTGCTTCGAAAGATGCTTAGCATTGAATCTCTTGGGATACCTGATGAAAGGCACACTTCAAATCAAAGCGCTTGTTGAGCGACAGTAAAACATCTCTTTGCGGAGCTCTTGCAACCCGGTTGAAAACAGAACACAATAGCGTCTGATTCCATACCGATAATGCGGGGTTTTATCTCGCACTTTTCTGTTTTGATGTTATAATACCGATGATTACCATTGGCTGATGACCATCAGTATGACCAGGGTGGCGTTCCGTGCAGCGGACAAGGGCGGACACAGTTTGGATCACTATGGAGATCAGCCACTGGGGAGCTGTGTGCCACCAGGAACGCGCCAGCCCCGCCAGGGCGGCGGGCATGGTCGGGGTGTAGCACCAGCTCGCATGTTGGCGCGGGGCGCGCGCCCTGACGCCTCTCCCGTGGTGACGACCATGTCCAGCCGGGCGTTCCTGTGGCACAGCAGGTCAACGACCTCGCCTCCCTGTTTGATAGCCGCTTCTGGGTTTTGCAGTTGATAATGCTGTCTTGAAGAAATTTTGATCTAGTTTTGTCTTATTCATTTTTATCCGAGCCTCTTCGTCTCATCCTTTTGCATTTTTACCAGTCACACATGGTTATTTTTGCGTTTTCTACATACATATTAAATATATTTTGGTTTTTGGTTTCCGTGGAATATTTTTGTTTTTACCGTTGCTGACGTTGATGTTTTTTTTTATAATTTGTTTATTCCACGTGTGTTAATTTGCGTATTTTAAAGTTGTTGTAATTATTCTTTAATTTTATTCAATTTGTGAATTACGCTTACGCTACTTTGTCCGCGTATTGAAGGTTTCATTCATTTAGTTAAATGCTTATTCTTGCGTTCATATACATTTTATTTAAATGGCATCTTTCTCATGTCTTATCTGGAACGGTTTTCATTTTACGATTTAGTTTTATGGCACCGCAAGGTGCTAAGTTTCCACTCACTTTCCCATCAGCTACATCCTACTCACCAAACGCCACGCATGCTTTGCCTCCTCCATTGACGCCCTGTAGCACTCACCACACCAATACCGCCCCTTCACGGTCGCCTTACCTGCCTGTCGCCCATAGCTACAAGAACAGATGAACGAGAAGTTCAAGAAGCAGTTCCCGACACGCAAGGAGCTGGAGATCGTGTCGTCGACCCGCCAGTGGAAGCAGATGGACCTGGCGGCCAGGATCATCCAGCGCGCCCTGAAGGCCTTCTGCCGGTCAGTGGCCGCCGATGACGTCATTTGAGGAAGGGGGATCGTGTGGCATGTTTGGGGGGTTACGGTGTGCTGGTTATCGAGGGTGGTTGGTAATATGAACTACGATTGGGCTGGTGTGTGTCCAGTTAAAAGATTGATCCATTTCTGTAGTTTGGCTAGAAAGAATTGGGTTACAATGCTTTAGTCCCTGACATTTTCTTTGTTTTTCCTTCTTTCTTACAATGCTTCCCATAATTACACTCGAAAGCTCACTGGACACTATGAAACAAAACATTTACGTGGTTGACTATAACTTCGGTTGGTTGACTTATAACTTCGTGCTGATTTTAAATGGACTGCTCTGCTTTCAACACACTTGTTTGATTGAACACTTGAAACCTTCCAAGCATTAATTATTGTGTTAAACGTTGAGCAGTGCGAGTGATTTTCAGTAACACCAAAGTACGAATGGTGTGCCGTCATTTCATTCTGTGCCTGTCTCATTTTAAAACTCCGATTTAATTGTAGAGAATGGTGTGCTTATTTGAATTGTATAGTAATCTATCAACATTTTCTTACTCTGATTTTTATCTAGTGTAACATATTTTGCAATGTTATCCTTTTTCATGCTCCTTTTTCGTTTTATGTGTCGGCAACTTAACAATGTATTAAATCTTATGGTTATCTTCCTTAACTATCTTCTTAACACAAATCAGCCTCTCTTCAGCTTCAATACTGTCTTTCTTCAACACAAAACATTGCCTGTCGACCGACATAGTCGCATTGCATCTGTAGTCACTTCTTTAAGCTCTTCGTCCAAAGTCCTGATGCGTGGGTCGGAGCGGTCTTCCCCGGCCCGTGGAGCCGCCCTTACAGATTTATCTGTCCTTTGAACAGCAAAACTGTCTGGCTCGGTGGTGCTGGGCGTCCCAGAACAGCTGGCAGCTGGTTAAATGCCCTCTGACGCCCAACCGCTGGTCCATTTCAGTCGTAACCGTGCCGCCACGCGCGCCGCCGCCTGTAGAAAGCTTGCATATCGCTGACAGCGCACACACTCAGTTGACACAAACCATTGCTGTGGCTGGCATAGGTAAAGACGGCTCAGTTCTCTATTGGCATGCACCCTGCACGCGCCGCAGTGGCCCCGCCGCGCCGGCTGTCCGTAACCTCTCTGCCCGGAGTCCGGAGCGCTCGGCCTCTCTACCCCCGCCCTCTGTCCCGATCGCCGGAGGAGTCGCCGGGGACGTGTCGCAGATTTATAGTGGGCTGGGTCTGAACGTACCGGACTGAGATGGAAACAGGAGCGAGTGGTAGTAATGGCTACCGTACAGCGGCTCTGATGGAGTGGTGCGTGCCGCCCGATAGGCCCGGACTGGACCGCGAGCACACGCCGCTGTTAGTTACAGCGAGAGGTGGAAAATAGCGCGGGAAGCTGCATTTCGGCTCAATTTAGGAACAATATTCGTAATTTTTGTCACTTGATTTCTGATGTCTGTATCATAATTTACCGTCAAATGTAGGGTATGTGATATTATAGGGATAAGTTGGAGCTTAGTTGAGTACAAATGATATGCTATATGAGTTATGACGTTTTGGAAGGGTATGTTATATGATTAAGCATTGAGTATGTAATCCAGCAGACATTATAATTCGCTATGAAAGTCAAGCTTCTAAACGACGTAAAGCACAAGTTTTCGGATGATTTTTGTGGATTAGAACGTTTTTCAGGAATATTTTTAGGGTTGATAATTTTTACAGTAATAATGTAACATTGCGGACCTGATTTGTAACGCTCTGCGCGACCTGCTAGCTCGCATGGTGTCTCCGTAACTATTGGGCCTGCGTTTTTACCTAATCAACCCTTCTCTCGCCTGCTAGAAGTGAAAGAATGACGCTGACATTTTCATGACCCTGACTCTATCACCATGCTACATTAACCGATGCTGCCCTGCCATAGTTTTGTTTCATGTCGATTGTCGAATCTCTTTTCACTATCAGTACTTTTTTTGGTATATTCTTATCAGATTAGTCTTTTCTGGCCCTATATTTATACATCGGTTGATAATTCTTTTAAATGTTCCTTTTGTATCCTTTTTTGTCTCATTTCACTAGTTTTGCTTGTTCATAATTATGATTTTGGAGTTAACGGAAAATTGATATGTTCGATACGCACATGAATGATTTGACAGAATATAATAGATTGACTGACGGAAGTTCATGCTATTATCTGGTTCGATTACTGTCAGTCGTGGAACGAAATGCCTCCAGTATAATTATGTGCGAGTTCATAGAAGTGCGCTGAATATACGCGCAGCTATAGTGAGCGTATAGTCGCAGTGTGTCGCTGTGGCCCCTCTGAGTCCGGTCGCCCACGCTCGGTCCGTGTGGGCCGGCCGCACCCGATCACCGTCCGACGCTGTCCGTTGTCCACCCGTGCGGTCTGACCCTGTCTGTGACCTTTGTCATGGTCGTGACGCCCACTGCGCCTCAAACGTGTGACGTCGCCCGTATCCGTGACGCTGCACCTCCTGTCGGGTCCGCTGTGATGTGACGTGACGTGACAATAGCCGTGTAGGACACGGTGATTGTCAGAATGTCTCACTACTTAAGAAACTTGTGAATGTCTTTAACGGTGTATTTGTGCAACGCCAAAAGCGTGCTGTTTGCCTGTGACGTCCATGCCTCTTGTGGCCCTTGGTGGCGTTCTGCTAGTGCCAATTTATTGTCTCTAACCAGTCCGTAGCCTTTTTGTGACCTGTGTGCGTCCTGTCCGTTTCTGTTGCTTGTTTGTGCCCTCACGTGATTGGCCCTCCCTCCCTCTGCTTTTGATTGTGGCCGACTCCGATTTGTCCTGACTCTGACTCTGCCCCGACTGCCGTTCTGTGACTCGCTCTGACTCTGACTCTGTCCCGACTGCCGTACTCTGACTCGCCCTGACTCTGACTCTGTCCCGGCTGCCGTTCTGTGACTCGCCCTGACTCTGACTCTGTGACTCGTCGTGACTCTGACTCTGTCCCGGCTGCCGTTCTGTGACTCGCCGTGACTCTGACTCTGTCCCGGCTGTCGTACTCTGACTCGCCGTGACTCTGACTCTGTCCCGGCTGCCGTACTCTGACTCGCCGTGACTCTGACTCTGCCCCGGCTGTCACCCAGGAGGAAGCGGGAGCGCGAGCGGCTGGCTCTGACGCTGGACGACTCTCAGACGCAGACGAGTCCGGGACGCTCGCCGACCACGCCCATGTTTCTGCAGCGGGTCGCCTCGTACCTGCATGTGCCGGCACTGATGGCCGGCGGCCGACGCTCGCGCACCGGCAGTGTCGCCTCGAGCACGTCTCGGCCGGGCTCGCGCGCCAGCGGCGACTCGGCTGACTCGTCGCGCCGCTCGTCCTACCACCTGGGCGAGTCGTTCAGTCGAATAGGCGTGCTGGGCGCCGGTCTGCCCGGCCTGGGTATTGTCGGGTTCGACGTGCTGGAGCGGCGAGACAGCGGCCGTCGGCGCGGCGGCGGCGGCGGCGACGGTAGCGCCGGCGGCTCGATGAGCCGGATCAGTGAGCTGCCGCCGCCGCAGGTTCAGATACACGAGGTGGACGAGGACGCGTCCAGTTGATGACGCTGCCGGCGAGCTCGGACCGACCGGCCGCGGACGGGGCGGCTATCTTTCATACGCGCTCGCGCCGCCCGCGCCGTGGACGCGCTGTTAATTTTGCCGGTTTTTGTAAGAAATGTAAAATGGTGTATAAATATTTATAGTACGGCACCGTGTCGAAATCTAGACTGTACTTCACTGTAGTTTTCTCATGTTCTCTTTGTGCGTATGCTTGCATTTGTCACTGCAGTATTTTACTCCTGTGTACAGTCATGTTACTGCTTGTTACTCAGTACGTGATTTTATATCAAAACTGTTCGTAGGTGAGGATTCTATCAGCCCCAGTATCAGGCCGTTTCCGACTCGTAGTCCATAGCCGGGGCTGTCCGTGTAGCGTATCGCCGGAACTGGCCCCCGTACGATCGGGGCGACCCCGGCACCCTGGCTGTTGACCGGCCGGCGCGAACTGACCTGGCTGGCTGGCGCACTCCCTCTGTGGCCGGCTCACCTGGCACCGAGGCTATCCACCGGCGGACCGTCACTCGAGGACTGGCTCGCCGGGCACTGTTCCACGCTCAGTCGTGCCAAAGACTCATCGGGCATTTGTAACGTTACGTACCTATAGCACTAGTGCCTCGGTGCCGCCGTCTCGCTTTTTGTGCCTAGTCTCTAAAGTTGTATTCCGGCTCTGGATGCGGGCCGCTTCCGGTCGGCGCTGGCCGGAAGTGGCCACCACCGACCGGAAGTGGCTCGTTTCCGGTGCACCTGTTTCCTCCTTCCAGCCGGGCCCTGCGCCGCTCCTGCGGGGCGGGGCGCGGTGTCGTGCCGGCGCGCGACACTGTCTCGCTGTTCCGGCCGACGGCGGGCGGGCGGGGCGGCCGCATCGGCCGTCGGCGTCCGCCGCTCGCAGGGGGCCGCTCTCCTGTCCCGCTCTGCTGACCGTGTCCGGTAGGTGCCCGGACACGGCGGTCCCGCGGGAAGATCGCGGACAGCGCCGTGGTGGAGCCGCGCGCCACATTTCAACATTCTACACCCACAATCCTCCGTAGCAGTTATTTGTTGAATTTTATTGTCGAAAGCCCTATTATGGACACGGATGAAATAAACTATGTTAAATGAGAGACATGTTATTTTAGCAGGGGTGGTTTGGGTCTTGAGATGCAGCTGCAATAGCTCCATTAAAGTGCGATTGAGGTTGCTTAATTGACATTCCTTTTTGGAAAATTTAAATGCTCCGCTGACTTCGTTGAGCTTGCTGCTCAACGAGATCAGAACACGAAGTTTTTACTTCGTGTTCTACTTATGCAACCAGTCAACTGCGAATGTATGTGGGAGTTTTCCGCGTCTGTGACGATCATGCTCTTCATGATGGTCTCTAAAAAATTCGAAGCTTCGACGCTTTATAGATTTGACATCAACGACTTGTGGAAAAAGATACTCCGACCTAACGATAACTAACTAAATTAAACAGTGATATCAATATGTGGAATATACATTATTTGCTTGCGAATGCAGCATATTAATGCAATAACAAAGTCATCAGATAATCGTTGCCAACAAGTCAAAGGGCAGATCTGACAGGGATGTTGACAACCGAGTGTTGCCGGCCCTGACATCGAAAGTTCACCGTTCCCGGATTCTATTGTGCACATGCACGTGGATATATGGTGATTCAGCCTGGTTTCGCATTGCATTCTGGTGGCATTGACGTAAATTGCTGTTCGTGCAATGACCTCTGTGATCGGCGTTTGGCAAGGGCAGTCGCAGGAAGGGAAAATGCTCTTTTCATCGATCAGTCGCTTCTCTCGGTCTTGCCCAACTCTATTGTCCAAATTAATTAGCAATCATCGAGTTAAGTGAAAGGTTGATGGAATGTCTACTCATCTTCACCATCTTCCACGTTTTGCACAGCCCCGCTCACCCAGCCCGTCGGTTTTCCCTGCGGTCGCCTCTGGCATTTCGCGGTGGGTCTGAGGTGGTCGCGGTCAGTCGCGGTGATATTTGGGCCAGAGCCCTCCACCAGTTCGTCAGTGGTCGGGGGACAGTCGCGGCGACCGAACGCTCAACCAGCAGCGATGGTGACCTCAGCTGTCGTCCTGTTGGCTCTTGTTGCAGGCGCACTAGCAACACGTACGTATACCAATGCATTCCGGGTGGTTAGGTACTGTTTTGGCTAGTGTGCCTGGGCCATGGAGCATAGCCGTCTCTGACTGAATGTGATCATTTACAAGAGGTTCAGGCTTCAAAGTATTTCGAATAGCAAATTCATGTATGTGCGACACACGCTTAGCTCGATGCTATTCTGTATTTATGACCCTTCGTAGAAATGTAGGCTTAGAATCTGCTACGCTCCTGGGAACGCTCAAACCCTCTCCAGTTCCACGCCTCAAGATCCCTGATCAGGGCTGGATGGCCACATATAGCCGACGCTAGCAGCTCCTCGGGGGGGGGGGGGGAGGGAATGCTCACGTGCGCCGGGGTGGCCGTTTGTGGGGCTGGGTGGCCTCTCAATCGAGACGGGCTCAGCCCCGCGGGCGCACCAGGGTGACTGGCCACCCAGGCTAATTTCTCTTCCTTATTTCCATTATCCGCAATGCTCTGATCAGATAGGTGTTGTAATGGGTCTCATACATCGAAAGGGTCTAACCTAATACAATGAAGGATCGGAATATCGAATCCTGGGCCGGCAGGGTCGCTAGGATCGCGTAATCTTCATGCACCATCTCCACTGCCTTGTCTTCGTTCGCGACATCTACAGCCTTATTTTTCTGCACGCAGCGCCACCTACGTCGGACCTGGAGTGTATACTGAGCGGCGGATGGTGTACGAGCACCTGCCCACCGGGGCGCGAGCCGTACCCCAATGTCTGTGAGAACGGCAAGAAATGCTGCTATAAGGGTAAGTGCACTATGGAGGCTTTTTTCGTCATGTGTATCTCATTTCATAATTTTGATTTTGTTAAGATTATTGGTTTGCTTTGCTGTGTAACTGGGAATTAAAGTCGCTTTGTCAGATTTAGTACGATAAACATGAATGATGAAACGCATAGCATAACTATATAGGTATTGTTTTTTTTGCGGTGTCCAGACATGCTGATGCATGAGTTGCTTTTTTATTTAGAATATCATTTTCATGCATTTAGTTTATCAGTAAGAAGACGTTAGAAGAGGAATAAAGAAGAGTTTTGCTATTGCTGAGCTGCCCTCCGGCAAGCCCTACGCCATTTTGGCATTATTATTATTTTTCTTATGCTCGTTTATTTCGTTTTAACACTTTTAGCACTACATACCTACTATACCTACATATGAATACAATGTATTACTTAAAAACTGCTATCGTTAAAAACAACTATCGTCACATTACCCACACTAAGTAGAAATCCCAAATAAACGTTCACCTGCGTTAACTAAGTAAGCCGATTTACTTGTTTCTTTTTAGCCAGTCTTTTGCTGTGTCTTTCAGAGCTTGCAGTGCACTCACTGGCTTGTGGGACTTTCGGAGGCATCTGTAGGGAAGACTGTTTCGGAGGAACCGTTTACATCAACGCTCCGTGCCCCAACTTCTTCCAGCGCTGCTGCGCGCCGTAACGATCCAAACTGACCGGAGATTCCTGAAGGGAAGCGCTGCAAGGTGTTTAGCAATAAACACCTGTTTTGATGCTCAAATACACTTATTTTGTTGTTGAACTGTTCGTCTTGTAGAAGGAAGATGATGAGATGTACCGTACGAAAAGTCAATTGTAGCCAACGTTTGTAATACAGATTAAACACACACCGAAATTCATCCGAAGTTTCCATTATAAGATTTATTACTGTGCTATTCCACGCATCGGGAACAGACGCCAGCTGCTGTTTTCACACTCGGTGCAGTGTACACAGCTTCCTGTTCTCACAGAGCTATCAGAGGCGCGTGACTCTCTGGGAGGCGGGGCTAGGCTAGGAGGCGGGGCTGAGGGCACGGTCAGAGGAATGGAGGTGTCTCTTAGGACCAGGCCGGGCTGAGGGTATAGCTCCAAGGCAGTACAGACCGCACTGGAGTACGAGTGGGAGTATTCTATGTACCGTGAGTGGGGTGTGGGGGATAGGGACTGGGAGGGGGACGAGAGGCAAGTGTGGAAGGGCGCGGGGGCTAAAGCTAGATGCCTGAGTAGGGATAGATCGACAGATGGGACACAAGGTAAGGGAAATAATTATAAAATGGCCGATAACATAACTGATAGACAGCTGCAGGCTTGTCTGTCGAGAACCGCCTGGGATGAGATGAGAAGCACACCACAACTCAATGGTAAGAGATCAAACAACAGGCAGGTCATTCACCCTCCCTGCTCTGTCCTGCCAACGTCAGCTGCCCGGAACACTGCTCTTATCTCATGTGGGGGAGGGAGGGGGGCACCTCGGCCGAGGGTGCATCCGGACCCAGTGGCCAGCGCACTTACAGAGCGAGGCGGGACGGCACAGCCGGGGGTGACGCCGGACGCTGTGCGCTGAGCTCGCCGGTCGCTCGTGTGGCGGACCTCGGGTCAGATTAGACTGGTGACCTTGACCCGAGGAGAGGTCATCTAGTGGGTCAGAATGTGGCTGGAGCTACTGGCGGTGGTAGCTGCTGCTTCGGCAGCGCCCAGACAGTCCACTTGCGGATACGAGGTGAGTTTCTCGTGAAAAAAGTTTTAACTAACAGTGTGGTAAAGAGTACGTTTACAGATTCCTGATATAACATCCAAACATGTTCTTGTTTCAAAATAAAAGTAATATACATAGGTAGGTATGTAGATGCTACCCTGCAGATGAACTGCATTTCATCGTCATAAGGGTCGTGTTGTATTTCATACCAATTGTCATTTATCCCCACGTTATCCATGCCGATCGAGTCGAACGTTTTCCCCAGGCCTGTCCTGCCGTGAAGCCGGGTATGCTGAACGTCCATCTGGTTCCACACACCCATGACGATGTCGGGTGGCTGAAGACTGTCGACCAGTACTTCTATGGAGGTGAGACGGGGCTATCTAATGTCCATCGCGAGATTATAAACGTAGACGTGCGTACATAAAAGGAGCAATAATGCGTGTTAACATTCATGTTTAAGACGTAACGGTTAATGATAAGACGTGACATGTGACACAACACTTGACACAATAATGCATTTTTACATACATTACACATGTGTTTCCTTCTAATTAGCATCATTGCAAATATATACGAGGCATCCCATCACTTTTTGCCAGAGCTGGGCAAGTGCGTTCCTTTAGTGCGTTCCTGCGTTCTTCCGTACGTACGCACCGCCCTTTTTAGGAACGCAAGAACGCAGGAACGCAAAGTTTTTTCAAAGGAACGCAAGTAAGAGGAACGCACCACCCGAAATTTTGAAGCGTTCCTGCGTTCTTGCGGAACCACCCGAAAAATTATATTGCTGCCAATGAACTCTGTGTCAAATGTTTGAATCTCGAGTACGTGTGTTTGCCGGTAGAGGCGCCACTTGTCGGTCGAATCGAGGAAGGCTTGCTTAGATTTAGTGGTGATGTTTACTATTCGATTCGGTTTCAGGCATTAAATGTGTAAATATTTTTAGTGGTGATGTTTACTATTCGATTCAGTTTCAGGCATTAAATGTGTAAAGTAAATATGATAACTTTTACTAAGATACATCTTTTAACTTAACTATCAATTTTAAGCAGGTCGTATTTTTGTTGAAAACCCTACGGATGATATTGGTAAAACGTATTTCAGATATTCGATTCGGAAAAGAGATGTCGAGTTGCTTTTCTGCCCCACGTCGCCATTCTGGGTATTCTGTGATCGATTCGCCCCGTGTTTGGTTGGGCCCGCGCCGCGTGGTTCGGCGGTATTTTTGAGGGAGGAACGCAGGAACGCAGGAACGCTAACGCACCGAGCGAAAAAAAAATTGAGGAACGCTATTCCAGGAACGCACTAACCGCGGCCGGAGGAACGCAGGAACGCTAACGCACTACCGAAAATCGAGGAACGCGCCCAGCTCTGCTTTTTGCAATTTGACGCGAGTCGCCCGTGCTGACTGTCTCATGCCCCTCCCCGTCAGCCAAGAACGACATCCAGCGAGCGGGAGTGCAGTACATTTTGGACTCGGTGGTGGATGAACTGGTCAAGGACCCCGCACGACGGTCAGTGACGTAGCAATGGGGTCTCTATCTCCCCTCTCTCTTCTCTCTCTCTCTCTCTCTCCCTCTCGCCACTTTAAGCTCGATTAGTCTATCGATAATATGTACAGCTGTATCTGTTTTGCTATGTATAACGGTTCTGCATGCATGTTAACCCGCGCCCTGCTGGGGGTCCTGGATTTCCACGCCCTGCTGGGGGGGGGGTGTTTGAACACCCCCCCCCCCTTGTAACTCGGCTCCTGGGCCACGTAGCGATACGCGGAAGGCGGCGTTCGAAAGAGCGTAAAAAATAATGACGAAATCACTTCGGTCAATTTTTTGGTCAGGTCAAAGGTCAGGTCACCAGAGGTCATTGAAGGCAAAATTTCGCCGATTTCCAGGTCGAATGTCGACAATTTCCAAGAAGCCAACGCATAACTCGGGAACCAATAGAGCTACCCCAGCCAGCAATTCACTTGGGCTGAACTGTGGCAAACGTCGGGCAGCTTGGGCTTAGCTTGGGTTTGCCCACTTTGATCAAAACCAATGCATTTTTTACTAGGGCTGAGCTTGGGCATGCCGCAGCTATGCCCACGTGCGGATAGCAGTAGCTCAGCCCGACATCTGCCCACGCATCCAAAACAGGCTTAACTTGGGTGGAGCGCGGGCTGATCAAGCTGGCTGTGTCCTTCGGCTAACTGGAGTAAAGCCGGAGTTAAGCCATACTTGTTCGGTTGTTCGCGCATGCGCAGTTCTGCGCCAATCATGTGCAGCGTTTGTGACAGTCTGCGCGCTGTGCGACGAAACGACACACCGGTGTTTGGGCATTTGGTGGTTGATGTTTGGGCGCGTGTGACAGCGCGAAGAACGGATAGTGCTCATTGCTCTTATCAAGTGGACTGGCATGGAGTTTTACGGTAGGTAATTGTATTGAATGGTGCGCTTGATCGTATGTAAACGTCATTATTTTGACTGAGTTTCACGCCATCAAACATGAAGCTGAATAGCTGTTCAGCCTGGCGACTTATACCCTCGCTCAGAAAAGCCGCATTCCGTGCCTTTATGTATATCTTTGTGAAATACCAGCACTTCTGAACCAGGAAAATGAAATACAAAACACAAATATTTATCTACTTATCACCGAGCACGCTCATTCTCTGTCCGCGTTGAAAAATTCGAATGAATATTTTATACGGATCAATGAGAAGTGCTGTTACAGTATTCAATAAGTTATTTTTCAAGCAAACATGCAATGTAAATTAAACCAATTGATCTCTTTTTCAGGTACGTACCATTAGGGCAAATTGTTCCAAAAAAATTGAATAGTTATACAAACCAGGACCGGGTGGACGCCGCTGTCGCCCTCGCCAAGTGGTTTAGCGGAAACTGCATGCTTATAATTAAGTAGGTATACCTACATATACGGAAACTGCGCCGAAAGCTGGCCGACCACCTACTGCAGATGTGTGTGTGTGTGTGGAGGAGCCAGACGCCTCCAAAGCTCCCATTCACCAGAGTGAAGTTCTTTATAAACGATTGTTTGCTAATTGCTTTATGTCTTATGAGCGATTACTTGCTGTCCTTACTTTATGCTTTCGGTTAAGTGTTCAACCAAGTATTATGAACGCCGAACGGGGAGGAAGGCTAGCGGGTCTTGTGATTGATTTATAGTTTTGATGGCGCTTTTTAATGACTCATGCCATATTATTGCTGCAGTTTGCAGTCCACTGTTTCATGTATTTGTGTTTCATTTGACGTGTCTGTAGTCGTTTGAAATAAACATTCAATCAAAGTCAGCCACTACTTTCCTTTCGAAATGCTCGATGACCGGTTAACAGAGCATATGAGTGACCGTAGCAATTTTAAATATGCAATAAAACCACACAACCTGCTGAAAGTGTATTGGCTGCTCCTTGCTACTTGATCCAGTGTGAAGCAAAAACAAGATGAAGTCAAGTCGAGACTTGAGAAAACAGGAGCCGTCACTCGAGCCGAACCCGAGCAAAGCCACAGCAGTTTGCAATGTATAAACCCCATTCACTTCTATGGCTTAAGTCGGGATAGACAGGGCACACAGAGTGGGCTTGCCGGAGTTCAGCCGGCTCGGGCCCAGAGTAATTTCCATTATATAAATGGATTCACTGCTCGGGCTTAAATCGGGCTAACGCCAATCGTCGCTCAACTAGGGCTAAACTACGGCTGCCCGGAGCTCGCAGAGCGGGCATACCTCCGGCAGAGCATGGGCTTTAGTCGGCGTTTCTGTGTCATACGCCGACTTTAGCCCAAGCCCTAGCCGACTTTAGCCCGACTAAAAATCTCGGGCAATCCGCACTTGAGCCTGCTTGGGCCCGGAGCAAAATTGCTGGCTGGGACAGCGCCGCGGAAAAGCGCATTCGATAGCCCTATTAACGCCCTTTCTGAGTAATTATCTCAGATTTGACCTAACGTCAACGGTTTTGCCTCCAGGGGGCAAAAACTGCAAAAATAGCCGATTTTTTCGAAAACAGTTTTTCTGCAATAACTATTGACCCAAGCCTTGTACGAGCTTACTTTTACCGGCATCGTGTTCCTCTCGTCAAGACGCATCGAATGAACTATGTCTTGACCTTGAAAGGTCAACTTGAAAATTTGACCTCAGGTCAAGGTCATGACCTGACCGGAAAGGGTCATGTTGCATATCAGTCGATCCGTATCGTCGAGCTGAACACATCTAAGGCGTTTTCATTGCTCTAGCATGCCTCTATCAAAAGTTATTTGCGAAAAACTGTTAGATACCATTCGTGACCTAAGATGACCTCAGGGCATAAACAAGGGTCACGGACACCATTTTCAAGTTCAGTGTGTCTAAACCACTTGTAATTCGGTGTTTGGGAGTGTTTATAATGTCTTTCATCCAAAAGAGGCGCATTTCAATTTTCTCCCATTGACTTATAATGGGGAGGTCGCAAAATTGACCTGACCTTAGGTCATCGATATCAAAATTCTGAGATATACATTTTGTACATGCTATTGCTTTTAGCAATCGCTGAAAGTTTCAAAGCGATCGGTCACTCGGTGTAGCTATGACAGACATTGAAAGTTTTTATGAGGTGAGGTCACTTCAAGTGATCTGGTGACCTGACCTTGAATGACCTTGGTCTGAAATTTTCACAACATGTGTAGAATTGATGTATGGTAAGGTGTACCAAAAACGGCGGCGCTCCGCGCCGCCGTTTTTGAGATATTCGCGAAAAACCACAGGGGGGGGTGTTCAAACACCCCCCCCAGCAGGGCGCGGGTTAACATGAATAACTTTACTTTTTATTTATTTATTTATTTATTGACAATTAAAACACTCCATATTAAAATGGCGATTCTGAGTGTCGCGTCTGAGTTAAAAGGGGAATACGAGTTAACCCGCGCACCGACGGGGGGGGGCGGATATCCGCCCCCCCTGAGGTTTTTCGCGAATAGCGGGAAAACGAAATTTGGTATGACTATTCCCTTATCAATTTTACACATGGTGTGCAAGTTTGAACCCCCTACCTTTCAAGGTCAGGTCACCAGGTCACTTTGAATGACCCAACCTCAAGTCACTTTTTTGCAACTTTGTCACCGTGCCAGAGCTACAGTAGATGTCGGAGGCCTTTGAAAGTCGCAGGATGTTATTAGGTCATTAGTAGCTACAATTTGTATATCTCGGAATTTTGATATCGGTGACCTAAGGTCAGGTCAATTTCGCGACCTCCCCATTATAAGTCAATGGGGGAAAAATCAACTCCCTGTTTTTACCACTAAAACGGGTCGGAATGGCCCCATATACCATACATGACTTCATATACGATCAAACTTCACTACCTTGCGGTCTGTTTTGCTGTTGGGCAGCTGTGAGGTCATGTGACGTCATCAAAGGTCACCAAAGGTTTTTGGCCAATAACTCCGTACAGGAACAAGATACAGACGCGTGGATGGTCTCATTGTGTTCAGCTCGTCAAGACGCATCGAATGATATACATGATGACCTCGAGGTCACGTGACCTGAGGTCAACCTTTGACCTTGACCTTTCGAGGTCAACATATATATCATTCGATGCGGATTGACGAGAGGATCACGATGATGCCCTTAGTTTGTTCCTATCTTGACTAATTCGAAAGTTATTCGAGAAAAACTCTCTCCATATTTAGCGCCGCCATTTTGACTTTTTCGACCCCTGTGACGTCATATTTGACCTGACCTGAAAATGACCTTTGTAAAAATTGTAGATCTTGACCGTGCGTATCCGATGCCGTTTACCGCTTGTCGCTATCTTGCTTCGTTCTCGAGATCTCAGGGGGGGGGGGGCGGTCATCCGCCCCCCCCGTCGGTACTAAGTTGGCGCAGACCCCCGTCGGTGCGCGGGTTAAAATGCACCCAAATCACAGCACTCAGTAAACATATCGAACCATTCACTCATCCCTAAATACGTAAAAACCACTCGGAAACAGAGCGCTTAAAACTTCCCATAGACAGGCTCCTTAAATCATGGGGCAGGCGATTATATAATTGGGCGATGCTGTAGAGCAGACGGCGCCTCCCTGCTTCGGTCCTCACTCCTCACGCGTGGGAGAGCCAGATCAGTGTCCCGCCTTGTCGAGCATGAGCGCAGGGAAGCGTTGGTCAGGATTTGAGAGGATATATGTAGTCTCCGGCTCTCCAGTGCAGCGCATTTTGTGAAGAAAATTGAGTGAGTGGATTTCGAACAACTGACGGGCGGTGGGCCAACCAAGTTCCTCTCGCACGTCCGATATGTGGTCAAATTTTCTTCGGCCAGACACAACGCGCAGCGCAAAATTGATAACTTTTTGGAGACGTTGCATGTTTTTGTCCGAGCCGTTTCCGTAGACCGAGAGACAATATCGGACGTGTGAGAGGACCAAGGCGCTGACCACAGTAGGCAGGAGATCACTAGGGATGTGGTGACGCACGTGGGACAGCCCGATGAGAATACCGTTGCATTTTTGGACGGGGGCCGATACGTGAGAGTCCCAGGTGAGATGCTTGTACTTGGTGAGTATTCTCAAACATTTTTCAGGTTCGCTATAAGAGTGGGCAAAGTCTGGCCAAAGCAGTCTAGCCTTTCCCCGTCTAAATCAATCTAGCCTTAAAAATCACACGCTCCCTCCCTGCGCGCAGCTTTATCTACGTGGAGACGGCGTTCTTCTGGCGCTGGTACCGGGAGCAGGATGAAGCCACGAAGGCCACCGTCCAGACCTTGGTCAACGAGGGGCGGCTGGAGTTCATCGGGGGCGGCTGGAGTATGAATGACGAGGCGTGCGCACACTACAACGCCGTCATCGACCAGATGTCGCTGGGAATGAGGTGGGTAGTGATCTGCTGTGTGGTGTTTTCTAGTGTTTAATGTATAGTGTATAGGACATCGTCATTTTGTTTTAATTTTAAGTGGTTTCTATTTGCCTTTAGACGGTCCACGTTCCTGGGAACTGATATAGTGAGGTATCGATAGCTCACTTACCTACACCATTTTGTTTCATTTTATTGAAACATTTCGATTTGTGCAAGGTCGATTTTATAATTATCTTAAGTCACTTTTGTGATATTCATTAAACCACACAATGTCTTGATCTCGTTTCATTTCCAATCCACTTTCAGAACGCTGTATGATAATTTCGGCACGTGCGGCATCCCTCGGGTGGCCTGGCAGATTGACCCCTTCGGACACACCAAAGAGCAGGTCAGAACGGCACAACTAAAACAGCAACCGATTGATAAGCCATCTTTAGATAGCAGTCTCATGCAGCATGCTTCATAGGGGAGGTGGTTGATGTGGCTCATCATCGTTTGTATATTCATCTTTTCACGATCCAGTCAAATATATGACTCACATCCTATGTTTTGAATTGAACTATTACCAAATTTGTTTAGGAATAAAAGCATCACATGGTTTGTAAGCGTTTCGTGACAACATTGTAGGTTGCCTGACCACCATCAATTCGACTCTATTTTACAGGTAAACCTGTTCGCCCAAATGGGCTTTGACGGATTGTTTTTCGCTCGTATCGATTACGACGATCGAAAGAAGCGTATTGAAGACAGAAACATGGAGTTTGTTTGGCAGGCTTCGCATGATCAGGGTACGATGGCAAAGGCCGACGGATTACAAATAACATTCGCTAATGGTCAACGTGTATTTACTACCGTAAGCCATATGATTAATGATTTCGCCAAGTTATTCCTGCTTTGCCGTTTTGTTTGTGTCAATGAAATTAATGTTAAATATTATAGTTAATTTGATCAAAACACTCATGAAACATAAGATACTAATAGTTAGAAATATTAGAAACAATTGCTACATTATTGTCACATTACCGTGTGACCATTTCTGACACGTCCAAGTTTTCAGCTACACCTGAAGTTCCGCTTGCAGTTCTTCAACCATTCTCAGCCAAATTTGCTGATGCCTTTCTTATTCCCCTACTGCCGCCAGGCTCTGATGGTAACCTGTTCACTGGGGTTCTGTACAAGCACTATTCGCCGCCTCCGGGTCACTGTTATGACGTCAATTGTAACGATCAGCCAATCATGGACGACAGCCGACTCAAGGATTACAACGTCAACGACAAGGTCAAACACACCGGGCGCCGAGGCCGCTTTTGGGAAGCAATAAAAGCATGTTAGCGATTTGGAACGAATTAGGGCTAAGTTACAACTAAAATCGTTCTAAGGATTATGGCTAACGAAATGCTAATGTGAATTGCGGTCTTGGTCTGAAAAAAAAACTTGAATGAAAATATGGCCAATGCCATAAACGACCGGTACGTTTCTACAATTTTTCCGAGGAATTTCAATATGACATCCCCCTTCGCTTTCCTTCACAGTTACAAGTAATAAAAGTCACTTGAGGTGTTGTGTTTGACGATTATAGTCACCTTAGTTACCACATTTCAGGTGACTGGTGCAATAACTTCCAATACATGGCCGGGAATATCTCGAGAGTTTTCAGATTGCAATGCACTGTCAACCTCGCTTTATTGACAGGTGGCCGATTTCATCGAGTTCTCCAAGAACAAGTCGAAGGCATACAGAAGCAGTCACATCATGATGACGATGGGGGATGACTTCAACTACCAGGCCGCTCACATGTGGTTCAAGAATCTCGACAAACTAATCAAGTAATCGGCTTAAAATGTTCAAATGCTGACATGCCTCTGAACCTTGGCTTTCATGATCCACACTTATGCTTGAAATGAAACGTTAGTGTAATACATTGAGAGAAAAGTTCCCATCGAGAATCGATGTCGGAGACAAAAGGCAAATCTGCCTATTCACGGTATCCGGTCACCTGGCGCCAGGTACGTGAACGCTCGCCAGGCGGAGGGTGAGACGGTGAACCTGCTGTATTCGACGCCCTCCTGCTACCTGAAGGCGCTCCACGACAGCGGCCTCACCTGGCCCTCCTACCAGGTCTGTGACGACGGCTCTCCTTGCGGGTGCTGTGCTTAATTCGTCAAGTTGTTGATCATGGGTTATAAGCTGATATGTGTAGCAAAAGGCTTTCCATAGTCATAACTGAAATAAGATATAAAGAAACTAAAGAAAATAAATGAAAAACAAATAAAGAAATAAATGACGACAGAAAATTACGGATTGTACGTTACGGAGCTGCGCTGCCAACTGCGATGCCAGTTTATTTACCAGCGATAGATCGATTCACTGTCGTTTTTCTGCGACCGACAGGACGACTTCGTGCCCTACGCCAGCGACCCCTGGGCCTACTGGACCGGCTACTTTACCTCCCGGGCCGCGCAGAAGGGCTACATCCGCAAGTCCAACAACGTTCTTCAGGCATGTCTTCTCTGTAAAATTTTGCCTTTTGAAAACATCTGCTGTTAGCGCCTATAATAACCGTTCAGGGTAAGTAGATGATAACACAAAAACGATCAGGATGACCAACAACATTGAAATTAGTCTTACCTTCTAGTCTTTCTTCGAATCATTTCAGATGTTATTACAAGTTCTGATACAAATGAGCAACATCCCTTATTTGATGACTGAACACCCCTCTTTCACTCTATCCAGGTCTGCAAGCAGCTGACGGCGCTGTTCCAGACGGAGGACATGACCAGTCACCCGAACAGGGTGGACATCCTCCGGAATGCCATGGCCATCAACCAGCACCACGACGCTGTCACAGGTATGTTCGTCGGGAAGATGTCATCGATGTGACACGACAATGATAGGGATTCGCTAAAGTTTATCACTTATCAGTCACTATATGAAGCTAACCTAGACTGGTCTGAATTATTTGTTTAGGTGGTGAATGATTAAAACGGAAACAACACTTACGTTTTCTGTATCGAAAATCAGTATGAAGTTGAATATATTTTTGTTCCTACCTGTTCACGTTTGATTCTGAAACGTCACCCCTCTTGGCACAGGGACGGAGAAGCAGCCGGTGGCGGACGATTATGTAATGCGTCTGAGTGAGGGAACAGAGTCCTGTCAGCAGGCCGTCAACGACGCCTTCAGGTCAGTTAGCGATGTTCTCGTGAGCAAATCGTCTATTCTATACCCACCCACCATGAGTCTGCCCCTTCTGTGCTCAATGTAAATGCTGACAGGCCAATTATGGCATGTGTGACACTTTTGTACTTTTTATACCTATTCAATGAAAGGATAGATTTTGCGAATGTTTTCTAATTTCTTTCTTATGTCGTGCGCTGGGATACAATCGGCCTATAGGAATGCTTTCATAATTTGGGCTTTACTCAAGCATCGGATTTACGTACGTTTATGGGTATCTTGGCTATAACCGGGACGTTCTCCCCTTGTTATAGCCTTGCCGGTCTGCCGAAGCAGAGTTTCTGCAATCAGCTGAACACGTCGTCGTGTGACGTCACTGAGGGTCACGATCAGTTCGTGGTGACCGTGTATAACCCGCTGCCGAGGGCTGTCGGACACTGGGTCCGGGTGCCCGTGACGGGACTGTCGGCCACCGTCGCTGACGGAGACGGTGAGAGGACGGCTGGGAGAGCAGGGAGGAGAACAGGGCATCGTGAAACAGATATATGTAAAGATATAGGAAACAAGACGACGCAATATATCTCTGATCAGGGGAGTAAAATGACTTAGGAACTTGCCGTACGGCCACAAATGACAAGGATGCAGGTTACGCTTACTCAACAATCGAGAGGTTCTTAATTACAGATATATGTCGTTAGAATTAATTACAGATAACTGAACTATGCTTCAGAGCAGCATGCCATCCTTTTAATAATATGCATATTCTTAAAAAGAAAATAATGATCTCTGATATTAGATCTCGTCTTTGATACTGAATGCCATCCGTCCCCGAACCACCTCAGGCACTGTGGTGGAGAGTCAGCTGAGCCCCATTCCTGAGGAGGTGCTCAGGCTGCCGGGTCGCACCTCGACCGCCACCTATGAGCTGGTGTTCAGGGCTGACGACCTGCCCCCGCTGGGATTCAGGTGAGTAATTTACAATACTGAGATCATGGTCAGCAGTAGTTGTAGAGTATAGCTTGTTATATGCTGCTTAATTATACTTCTTGGTTGGCTCATGTTTACAAGTTTCCAGTGATTTTTGAAACTTGTTCAGAAGATAGCGTTTTTTATCCGGAATGCCGTTTTCGAACGGTGATGTTTTCGTACGGAGAAGCGAAAAATGAGAAAAGGCTATCCGTTTGACGGACGTTAAAACGTATTTGCACTAGCAGCCGTTTGGCACAAATGTAAAGCAGCAGAATGATCCACAAGATACCTCTCGTCTTCTTCTACAGGTCGTATTTCGTTAGCGTGTCCGCATCCATTGCTGTCTCGCAACACATGCACAAGGCCCCCCGGCAGGCACCACTCTCGAATGGTCACGTGACTCTCGACCTTGACCCGGCGTCGGGTCGGCTGGCTCGTATTAGGACGGACAGCGCCGATGTCGCAGTGAGTTTATGCGTTCATGGCCAGTGATTGAAGTTTGTCAGTTTTGAATATCCGTTTTGGCGTAAACTGCTGCATGTCAAACCACCCTCACATTTTTTAAATTTTGCCGTCAAGCAATTTTTGTGTCATTCTAAAACAATTTTTAAAGCAATACATGTCTCGCTTATAACAGCAATAGTCATTTTAGAACGGATAAGCGTGTGTGTAACTTCAGGGTTGTATTACCAACCATGTTCTTGCCATTCAGGTGAATCAGACATTTATGTGGTACCACGGGTACGGGAGCGACAAAAACGACCCCTGGGAGCCCCAGCATAGACCCACTGGCGCCTACGTCTTCAACCCGGTGGCAGACGCCATCCCAATCCAGCCCAAAGTAAGGCCGCCCGTATAGAAGTAGGTATACTATGCACTGTACCATCATTTTTACTTTCCTGCAGGCTTATTTACAAGATAAGTACATATGTGCTCCCCTACATCATATTCTTACCGATTCATGATAACAGGAATATCGTTACGTACGGTGCTAGATGATCAATTGAATCAGTTCGCGTCTAGACCTCAGTCCTCAGGACATCAATATAATATTTGGCTATTTACTTTATGATGTAGTTGGTTGGATATTGCTAAACAAAGGGGAGACATTTATTCATCTTGTGCGTCATAGAAAATAACATTTCTGGGATTTTTACTGTTATCTTAATTGTTTTTGGTAATGCCAGCTAATTATAACATTAAATCTCCATTAAGATCATTCTCCGAGAAATGAGTGTACGGTTAGCGTCACTTTCCGTGAAACCTGTCAGAAGCATCATGTCGTTAACGCAGTGACGCTAGAATCTGAAGTAACGCCGTCCGTATGTCTTTGGCTGTCTCAGGACGTGGTGATTCTGGAAGGACCTCTGGTGAAGGAGATCCGACACTCCTTCGCCGAGACGTGGGTGTCTCAGGTCACCCGACTGTACACCGGAGAGCCGTACGCCGAAATCGAGTGGCAGGTCGGACCGATACCGACAGAGTAAGCGATTTGTTGCAGTCGTTTACGTTTTATACAATGCAGCTGCAATAGCTTTTCTGATAATTAGAATGAGCAAGCGATAATTAAACACCTTTTCGAAGATAAATACATTTTGGTAATTGGTTGATGTGAAAGCAGAACAACATAACTATCAGTTTCTTGTTCTATAAATTATGACAAAACAGTCGTAAAAATAGATAATGGCCGTATCTGTTTGCGTAGGGACGGCGTGGCGAAGGAGGTCATCAGTCGGTTCACCAGTGACATCAGCTCTAATGATTTGTTCTACACCGACTCCAACGGTCGGCAAATGATGGAACGTAAGTCTAAATCGAAATGAGTGAGATATTATTTCTAAATTCTAAGGTCGTTTAAATCACTCACCTCTCTTGGCCCTGTTGTATGTTTCGACATCATCCAACGGCCAACTTCAATATCAAACAATGCACTTGATGCATGCAATTAAGTAGTATCGGGCCAGAGTTTATGGGTGCCATGCCTGAAACAGTTTTTTCAGCCCGTGTTTACTTTACTGAGCCGTTCTTCTCAGGTCAGCGGGACAGGCGCTCGTCGTGGCCTCTGAATGTGACGGAGCCCGTGTCCGGTAACTACTACCCTGTGAACTCACGGATCTACATCAGGGATGCAGCCAGTCAGCTGACCGTGCTCTCGGACCGATCGCAGGGAGGCGCCAGTCTGGCCAGCGGACAGCTCGAGCTCATGGTGCGAACCATATGTTTCATTTATAAATATTTCAGGAACCGGCTTGTTTATTTCCATTCCTTTGACTTTTCAAAGGAAGGCAATGATAATGTCTTCTTGATTTTGTAAGAAAATGAATAATCGCACTGTGCCGTCATGACGCGAAGTTTTTTTTCAGTCAAACTGTTGCAAGTGCAAGCGAAATCCGTTTAAAAGCCGAGCGATCAACAGATGCCGATGTCGGGAGCCTGTATGAGTCGGAACTTAGAAGATTTAAATTTGTCGAAATAACCCGTGGTATACCATATGCCACAGCAACAACTCTTTATGTATATGACACATTTTTTTTATAAATTTAGCTCGAATGTTTGAATGGACGGATTGACAGAGCCGGAGCCCACGCTAAGCAGAGCTTGTTGCGTAGACCCCGACCCCTACCGTCCGATCGCGCAATTCCGGGTAACGGGAGAATTTAGATTCCAAAGTTTAAAGGTAGTGTGCCAGCTTTCCTGGACCGTATGGAGTTAATGGCCCAGATAAGGAGAGCCGGATTTTTAGAACTTATCCATACCTTCAAAACTCATGGAAACGTCTTAAATTCTTCAAATTTTGAGTACCCCAGTGTGAAATTCGCCCCGACGGGTTGTCGGTCGTACCCCAACCACATTTCACACCACTATGAACAATAAATGCACACACTGAAATCGCTATTACCGATATGCTCATCCAATCAAGTTTCGATAAACCCGTTCATCATCATCTCCTGCGGTTTCGAACACGCCTGTTAGGTGGTGTGGTAGACCGCGCCCAAAGCCAGGGCCCCGGTAACGTGAGGTAGCCGAGTCGGGGCAGCGTGCGCTGACCCAAGCCGGGGCCGCGCGTCCTCCCGGTGTCATGTGATAGCCCGGGGCTGCCTGCGGGGATGCGGTAGACCGCGCCCAAAGCTGCGGCCCCGGCTTGGGTCAGCGCACGCTGCCCCGACTCGGCTACCTCACGTTACCGGGGCCCTGGCTTTGGGCGCGGCTTCTGCTCATACTTTGTGGTGGGGTGGTGGTGCGTCGGGCCGCGCGCTCTGACTTCGGCCAAGAAAAATGCGTCAGCTGATCAATGTCATTTCTGCCACTTGCGTGTGGTGAAATGGGGTCATAACTTAAGAGACGGCTTTTTCATATCAATTATTTTACATGAAATCATACTTCAAACCATAAATAATGTTCGACAGCCAAATAAAAGAAACAATACCAATACAGGCTTACAGTTTAAGGCTCGACATTGTGTTGTCTACGATTAGACTGTTGTGAATTATCTGCGCGGAGGCGCTGGCAATGGTCGACGCGTGAGAAATTTGAAATGATTGAATTGCGTGAGGTGAAAAATGTCTAGAAAAAGGGGAGATACTGATGCGATGGCTTGATTTGAATGAAGCGATTGATTAAGTTTTGCTTTAACGTAAAAGGCCTAGAACGATGAATTAGAAATGATCAACGCGATCATGAAATCACGACAAATGTAAAATATTGTCTGCGACAGTGCAATGTGACTCAAGATACCATCTGCCTTACCTACGCAATACATCGGTTTTCTAACATTTCTGGTGACCGTGACAGGACATGGAACATTATATAGAGATCGCCGTAAGGCAGGGGTTGTCCGGTGCAGAAGCACTGCAGTTTGCTGAGAAGCAAGTAGATAGAGAAGAAAGAAGAGAGGAGCGTGAACGTGAACGTGAACGACAAGAAAAGGAATCCGAAAAAAGGCGACAACATGAACTTGAAATGGAACGAATGAGAATTGAAGCTGACAGGGAAAGCCAGCACAGCAGAAACACCGACGTCAGGTTAGTGGCAAAAAGACCCAGAATGCCGACATTTGAAGACAGCAAGGACGACATGGACAGTTATCTTAGCAGATTCGAAAGGATTGCTGAGATAAATCAGTGGCCTCGCGAAGACTGGGCTGCAAATTTAAGCGCGTTACTTACTGGCCAAGCACTTGACACATACTCACGGCTAAGCAGGGAGGATGCCGATGATTATGATATTCTTAAGACGGCTCTACTGAACAGGTATGGCCTGACAGGCGAAGGCTACCGTAAAAAACTGCGTGACGCGAGACCCGAACTTAACGAAACTCCAGCGCAGTTTATCACCCGGCTGAACAGCTACGCCACTCGCTGGGTTGACTTAACCGACACCGAGCACTCTTACAATGCCTTGCGAGATCTTTTAATCCTAGAACAGTTTTTTGAGTGTTGCCCAAAACAATTGGAGGTGTACCTGAAGGAAAAGGGTGTTAATGAGCTGACAGAACTGGCTGAGTATACGCGGACCTATACAGAAGCACACGGACGCTCGTTTCACAGTCTCTGCAAAACCACGGCAGCTGCCTCAGCGGCAGACAGAAGTCTGCCGGAGAGACGCGCGAGCCCCTTCGGTTCCGCCACTGCCTTAAGAGCTTCTCGACAGGAGTCACTACCACGCTGTACCTTTTGCGAGTACCCGCACCCCGCAGAAGACTGCCGGAAGGCCAGAAACTGGACCATCGCGGAGAGACGTGACCGGTTAAGACGCGTGGGCGCCTGTTACTGGTGCTTGGAGAACGGACATCGAGCGTCGGAGTGCTCTGCTGGCAAGCCACGATGCACTAAGTGTAGCGGAAGGCATTCTGTGCTCCTATGTGGTGACTCAGCTGGAACCGCTAGCAATGCCGCCACCTCAGCAGCTATTTCTGTAGAACCAGCGGGCACTGAAAGCAACGTCACTGTGACAGCAGCTAGCACGGCTAAGCGGAGCAAAGTCCTGATGCAGACCGCACAGGTGAGGGCAACTGGCGAGCTCAGTGAAAAAACAGTTCGAATCATGCTTGACTCAGGTAGCAACCAAACGTTCATTAGAACAGCAGTAGCTCGCGAGCTTGGATGTCGTGTTCTAAGCAGTGAACATTTGAAAGTTGAAACCTTTGGAGGAAGCAAGACAACACAATGTTTGACCAACAGAGTACAGCTAAGCCTGAGAGCTGAAGCTCAATCGGGCATCGTACTAACCGCCTACGAGGTGCCAGAGATATGTGCCGCACCCCCGACCATCGTGACCTCCGACCTAAAAGCGTACCCACACCTTACCGGACTCAAGCTGGCGGAACCACCAGGAGAACACGATAGTCGAGACGTGGATATCCTGATCGGACTAGACTACTTTCAAAACATTGTCGACGGAAGAATGAAGGTTGGTCCAGCAGGGCCGGTAGCAATGGGCTCTATTTTCGGATGGATCCTCGCTGGACGGGTACATTCGGAACACGTGGGTGCGGCCCCAGCTGCAGCAGTCAACTTCATCCGTGCCGACACAAGAAGTCTGCTTGAGGATCTATGGAGTCTAGAAGGCATTGGAATCGGTTCAGATGGAGTAAGCGGGACAAACAAAGAATCGGAAGAGGATGAACAGGCGCTGAAACACTTCCAAGAAACGTGCACTCGTCTACCTGATGGGCGCTACGAAAACCGATGGCCATGGAAAGAGGGGGGAGCGCAGGGTCTGCCAACCAACGAAAAACACGCTGTAATTCGGCTAGAAGCCTGTGAAGCCGCTTTGAGGAAAACTGGACGCCTGCAGGAGTATGATGATGCCATTCAGAACTATCTGGAGGCCGGCCATGCAGAGCGAGTACCACTGGAGCCAGACGGACCAGTCCATGTGTTGCCGCACCACGCAGTCTACAAGAAGGGAAAAATACGCGTGGTCTTCGACGCCGCCGCTGGTCATCCGAAGGCACTCAACGACTTCATCCGAGCAGGTCCCAATCTTATTGCCGACCTTACGGGTGTGTTACTGAGGTTCCGCTCAAACAACATCGGTCTCACTGCTGACCTTGAGAAAGCCTTCCTGCAGCTGTCACTCCACCCTAGTGATCGTGATGTCACCAGGTTCCTCTGGAGGGAGAAGGCGTGCGACCTCAAGCCGACCACCTACAGGATGAAAAGAGTCCTGTTCGGGGTGAATGCCTCGCCGTTCTTGCTGCAGGCGACGCTAAGGCAGCACCTCACACATTTTAAGCGTTCCGATCCTGAACTGGTTGACCGACTCATCAGGGACATCTACTGTGATGATTTAATCACTAGCGTTGCTTCAGACGAAGAAGCACGCTGTGTGAAGGAAAGGACAGTCCAAATATTCAGTGAAGCTCAGATGAATATGACAAAATGGACTACCAGCTTCCAGCCAACTGACCCCCAGGAGCTAGCCAACTGCTCAAACAGCGAACGAAAGGTGCTCGGAGTGAGCTGGGCCCCAACCACAGATCATCTAGTGGTTGAAACTGATCAGCTGGCTCAACTTGGAAGTTGTCTGCCAGAGACAAAGAGGAGCATCCTGAAGATTACGGCGAGATTCTATGACCCACTGGGACTCCTGAATCCTGTGTCGGTGCGGGCTAAGATGATGCTCAAAGCACTCTGGAAGGAGGGCAAGGGATGGGATGAAGCTCTTCCTAGTGCCGTCCAGTGCCAGTGGAGAAAGTGGCTCCGTGAACTCCGCACTTTGGGAAAGTTTTTCATTCCTAGAAACTGTGCGCTGGCCGAGAGACCGTACCAGATTCACGTATTCTGTGATGCAAGTAAAGAAGCCTATGCAGCCGTCCTCTACATCAGAAGTGAGCATTCGGAGCAGTGTGCAAGTACCTACTTGCTCATCAGCAAGTCACGTCTTTCGCCGAGTCAAGAAATCACCATTCCAAGGCTCGAGCTTACGGCAGCTCTGATCGGCGCACGGCTTCTAGCCTACGTGAAGAAACAGCTAACTGTGCCACCCCAGAAAAGCTTCCTATGGACAGACTCCATGGTGGCTCTCAGCTGGATCAATAGCGACGCGGATAGATGGGGCGTGTACGTGAGGAATCGCGTGCAGGAGCTACAAGAGCTGACCGCCGCAGAGGAATGGGGACACTGCCCCGGAAACGAGAACCCGGCGGACCTGCCCTCCCGAGGTACGTCAGCGGACCGCCTGAACGGTGACCTCTGGTTGCACGGACCAGAGTGGCTCAGACAGCACGAGTCACAATGGCCCCAGAAAAGGGATTCTGAGCCCGAACCATCACAGTGTCAGCTGGAAGAAAGGAAGCAAGCTCTGGTGGTACTTAGTGACAGTTCTGGAACGCAGCAGCTCTTTGATCCGGTCGGCTACGGCTCCTTGAAACGTTTACTCAACGTGACAGCTTGGGTACTGAGATGGGTACACAACTGCAGACAAGACGGCAGACAAGACAGGAAAACGGGACCACTGGTGGCCGAAGAGGTAGAAGGCGCGTTGGAATACTGGATCAAAGCTGCGCAATCAAAGTTCCATGAAGACGTGTCAGCGCTGAGAAAGGGACAGCCGCTGTCTCCAAAGTCGCGCCTGCATAGTCTTGGTGCCAGACTAGAGAACGGTATACTGAAGAAAGAGGGTCGTCTCCAAGAGGCCCTTCTGAATGATGAAGAGAAGCACCCCATCATTCTGCCGTCGGATCACCGACTAGTACAGCTACTCGTTGAAGACACTCATCTGCGGCTGTGCCATGCCGGCGTGCAGCAGGTGTTGAGTGCGCTCAGGGACAGATATTGGATTCTGCGAGGCCGCCAGGTGGTCCGGTCAGTGTTACGAAGCTGTCAAAGGTGCCTGATTTTCCGTGCACAACCTCTTGGTCAAGTGGTAGCACCTCTACCAAGCACCAGGACTCGCCCCTCACAACCCTTTAGTCACATCGGTGTGGACCTTGGAGGACCACTGCTGGTCCGTGGGGGAGCAGGTCATCAAGCTTCAAGGCTGTATTTTGTGGTATTCACGTGTGCGGTTACGCGCGCGCTCCATCTAGAGCTAGTTTCGTCACAGGGGACCGAGGACTTCATCCAAGCTTACCGCAGATTTGCAGCCCGCAGAGGAAAGCCCAGAAGTGTGTTGAGCGACAACGCAAAAAACTTCAAGGGAGCGGCTAAGGTTTTAGCGACTGAGGGCGTGAGCTGGCACTTCATTGTTGAGCGAGCCCCCTGGTGGGGGGGCTTTTGGGAGCGGTTGGTTGGACTAACCAAGGCTGCCCTCCGCAGAACACTTGGCAGTGCCCTTCTCGGTAGGGAAGAGCTCGAGACAGTTCTCTGCCAGATCGAGAGCGCTATCAACCGGCGCCCTCTGACAGCCGTCACTGACGACCCGAGTGACCAGCAGCCGCTCAGACCTGCCGACTTCCTAAGGTGTCCACTGGGAGGAGCAGAGGAAGAGGAGGACGATCTCCGAGGCCGGCGGCGTTACCAGACTAGAGTTGCGGTGCACCTTTGGAGACGCTGGCAGAGAGAATACCTGAGAAATCTGAGAGATTTCCAACACAGACAGCTGATCCGAGAAGCAGCTATCGGTGACTTAGTACTCGTCGAGGGAGAGCAGTCCAACCGGTTAACATGGAAGACCGGTGTCATCACAGCGCTACACACTGGCCGAGATGGACGAGTGCGATCGGCGACACTGCGCACCACAGATGGTGACCGACGGCGGCCAGTACAAAGACTTTATTTACTTGAGGGTAGCAGATGCTGAGCGTGCCGCCGGTCACGTGGGGGAGGGTGTTGTGAATTATCTGCGCGGAGGCGCTGGCAATGGTCGACGCGTGAGAAATTTGAAATGATTGAATTGCGTGAGGTGAAAAATGTCTAGAAAAAGGGGAGATACTGATGCGATGGCTTGATTTGAATGAAGCGATTGATTAAGTTTTGCTTTAACGTAAAAGGCCTAGAACGATGAATTAGAAATGATCAACGCGATCATGAAATCACGACAAATGTAAAATATTGTCTGCGACAGTGCAATGTGACTCAAGATACCATCTGCCTTACCTACGCAATACATCGGTTTTCTAACATAGACAGCTGATAACTCATTCCCGTACGTCGTAACTCTATAATGACCTTTGCTTATTGTCACATGTGCGCCGCATTCGCGATTGTTGCCGACGCCTGTTTGCAGCTCAGCCCCACTACAGTTGTTATACATATCGAAAAACCGATAAACTTTTAGGCGAAAAAGGCACTATTCCAGGCCCATTTTTGATTTTTTTGCGATATTAGGTAAACACAGAAGCTTCTTATCCTAGGAAAAATAAAATGGGAAATCTTTCAAAGGTGGCACACTACCTTTAACGTGCCCTTCAAAGCCGGACACGGCCTGTCCCACTCAACTGACTTCAACTGGCTGCGGCTGCTCCCACCAACCGCAGACCATCCCCGTCAGGAGTCTCAAATATCGAGCGCCGGAACGTCTCGAACCCGGGCTCTCACTACCGGGAGTCCAATGCTCTACCAACTGAGCTACGGGACAGGCACATTATTCCATTTCTCCCGTTCGCAGCTCCACCGTCGCACCGTGCAGGACGACGGGTTCGGCGTGGGGGAGCCCCTGAACGAGACGGCGTATGGTGCCGGTCTGGTGGTGCGCGGTCGGCACTGGGTGCTGCTCTCCGACCCTGCCGAGGGAGCCCGGCTGCACCGGGACCTGGCTCAGAGGGTGTTCATGGCGCCGCAGCTCAGCTTCTCGGTGGCTGAGGATACGACGGTGGAGGAGTGGCTCAGTGGGCCGGCACCCAAACAGGTGGGTGGACGCGGCCGGGGAAAGGAAGGTGTGCTGGTAAAGGTGTGTGTGTGTATCAGCGCATATGACTGGCAAAGTCCATTCATCTTATCGACATACCTGTGTGCTATCGACATCATGCAAGTTACTGGTGGTACTTACATACATATACATGTATGTATTTCATAGCGCAAATTGCATACTGCTCACGCTACTGCCATAAGCTTGAAAGTTTAATGAACGAACGCGCTGTAATCCTTACAAATACTAACACTCAACAATGACGCCCGAGTTTTACACAGCTGGCTATAAACACCAACTACCAAGTCACTTGAAAACATCTCAACACCTATTTCAGTTCACTGGCCTAAACGCCCTACCTGTCAACGTCCATCTGCTCACCTTGGAGACCTATAAGACCGGACAGCTTCTGATCCGGCTGGAGCACCAGTACGAGGCAGGGGAGGACCCGGAGCTCAGCCAGCCGGTCGAGGTCAACGTGCAGGTATAGTGACCGAAGTTTTTACGAGCGAGCGAGCGCAGCGAGCGAAATGAGTCTTTTCAATATAACGGAAAAATCTCAGTATGAGCGGCCCGGCCCGGCCCGGCCCGGCCTGTAACGCTTTTGAGAGGCTTATATCTCAGCAACCGCTGGACCGATTGGCCTGCGGTCTTTTTTGTTGGGTAGCCCCATCCCTTCTACCCCGTAATTGACTACTTTTGATACATCTCAGTGACCGTCGCGGCACGTGCCACGTGAAAAGTCAAGGGTGTTCAAGCTGTTTTGCAAAAGTAGTGATTTTGAGAGGCTCATATCTCAGCAGCCGCTTGGGCGATTGACTTGCGGTAATTTTTGTAGGGTAGCAGCATCCCTTCTACCCAAAATAGGATCCTCTCGATGCATGTGGGTCACCCCCAGTGCACGTGCAAAATACAACAATAAGAGGTGCCAAATTTGTTCCCATTTCAGTAACTCGGTAATTACTGGGGCGATTTCGCTGAAACTTGGCATACAGCCATACAGGTAGGCATTAACCAGGCAATGCATTCCCATGTGTTGCGGTTGGGGTGCTACTGCACGTGCGCACGTGCAGGGGGCGTTTCCAGATCTCGAGAACGGCTGGGCCGATTGCGCTCAAATTTGGTACACGGTTGGGGACCAGTTAGTAGGGTGCCGTGCAAAAGTCATTTTGGACCCCGTTTGCACGTGCGCACGTGCAGAATGCCGCTTCCAGATCTCAGGAACGGCTGGGCCGATTGCGTTCAATTTTGGCACACCGCTAGCGACCGGTTAGAAGGGTGCTTTGCGCAAGCCCGTTGGAAGCACCCTCTCGCCCTTCTGCACGTGCAGGGCTCACTATCTCGCTCGCTCGTTCTTCGCCCAAAAGGCGTTTTACTGGTATTAAATGACCAGTTGACAGTTCGATAAGTTTATAAATATCCTCTCATGAAAGTTATCTTCCGGCTTACAGTACACCTGTCTGTGACTGATTTCTGTCTGTTTGTTCAGGATCTGTTCACCACCCTGGATATTACTGCTGTGGAGGAATACGGCCTCTCTGCTGATCGGCCTCTGATGGAGATCAATCGGTTTGACTGGAATTATAACACCACTGCCAGTCGTCAGGGAGGCAAACAAGAGGCGGGACAGCGCGACACTACCGCAGACTTGTTCATGGTGAGGATGCAGCAACCCCAGTCATTCATCCATCCATTCATTCATTCATTCATTCATCCATTCATTCATTCATTCATTCATTCATTCATTCATTCATTCATTCATTCATTCATTCATTCATTCATTCATTCATTCATTCATTCATTCATTCATTCATTCATTCATTCAAATATTCAGCTCCTTCGTATTTTTTTTTCGTTACTATTGTATTGTATTGTGTTGTTTTACGTTCAATACAATACAATACATGTAAATGCGAAACGCATTGCATTGCATTTAAAATATTTTTCAACGCATGGGCTATGAAAGTGAAGTGGTTGTCGCGGTTGTACGGAATATGACAGCCGACCGACTCCCCTTTTTCAGGTGACGCTGAACCCGATGGAGATACACACGTTCGTGGCCGACTTCCAGACGCTTTAAACTATTTGTGTCACTTATAAAACGTATCCAGTAACTGAATCATACTATTCAGTACTTCTAGTAATTTCACTGACTCAATCGGTCATGTCAAATGTTCAAGTGCTCTAATATACCTAGCCTGAACAAAAAGGACTTCAAGCGTCAAAACTGTTCCTCAGAGTTACACTGCACGCCTCCGCGCGATCACTGGTGCCGCCTGGCTGGCTTCCGCTCCCACTCCCATTCATGAACTCCGAGTTAGTGTCGAGTTAGCACCGCGTGCTCGCCAGGTGATGGCTTGATCGTGGCCACCAACGCCGGAAGACTGCGTAGCAACAGCGGTGAACAAAGAAACGAAAAACTCGCGTGGCAAAAGCTCGTGGAGACTGGAGAAGGGTGGCATACCCCGAACCCGCAGAACAGCCCGCACTTATTCACCACCCTTCGGTATAAAAGGCATATCCGCCGCGCGGCTGCGAAATACTGCATGCTAAGTAAAAAATGAACGTTTTATAGGAGCTATTATTAGTGCAAAGAGCGATATAAGAGTGGCGTTGGTTGTGATTTGTCCAGTCAGACTCAGACTGCCCACGAGTTCCAGTATGAAATATAACGGCACCCTGACAATTTATCTGTGGCCCTATCCACGCCGAAAACACTCGACTAAGCCTCGCGAGACAAGTCGCGTCCTCGAGCGCGCTTACGTCACCGGTGTCCACCTCGTCGCTCTGAGGGCGGCCCGCCGCGCCGTCCGCGCCGGCCGGCCGGCCGCCACCGGCTGGGGCCAGTTCGGGTTCTGCTGCGCACGCGCCCCGGCCGCCCGCTACCTGCCGCCCTCCCCTCCCCTCCCCCTCCCCCGGCGCCCACACCACGTGACTGGGGCGGCGCCACTGTGCGGGCCGTCTGGTGCGGTGCGCGGCCGGCCACGTGACCGTTCTCGGCGCGAGCTCGTGTCAGAGGTCAGCTCGCCGCCGTGGGGGGAGCGCCGCGGGGGGCCGGGAAGTGGTGCGAGACGGAGGGGTGTGAGCACAGGTGGAGTGGTCCAGTGGACGGGCAGATCCGCGTCACAGACAGTCCGCTGACAGCCAGTGCGGTGTCCGGTGTCCCAGAACGGAGGTGACGCGTCGTCGCTGGTCCAAGGATCTTTCAGGTGAGTTTTCCGAAATGGGCAATGCGCAATATCGCGCCGGTCGTGAGTTCCGATGTCTTGACAGTTTCAGTGAGCTGTCCACCCGTCGCCAGCGTCGGACGTCGATGGCACGCGTCCCACCACGGAGCCCTGCCGCCGGTCTGCACCGCAGTGCACCGCGCTCCGGCGCTGCGCGGCGACCTCGGGCTAGTGACGTCATTGGGCGGCCTTCTCGGGTGCTGATTGGCTGACGGCGCGGCGATGACGGCGACCAATCAGTGCGGCGGTCTGGACAGGCCTGTCACCGGTTCGCGGAACGGTTCAGACGTAAAGCCCGGGAAGAACACGGCATTAGTTGTTCATTTACTGTCCTGAGCTCTTTGCGAAGTTTTTGTTTCTCAACAAATGTTTATTTCATTTAAAGAAAATGCATCGGCTTCGCCTGCACTGCTCTAGGCTGCTGATATTTGCTATTTTATGAGATTCTCTGCTTTTTTTGTGGAAAAGATAAAGGTCGTCCCGTTCTGAGTGCCATCACAAGGCGATGGTGGTCGGGGACGTATCTTTACTTCGTGCGTGTTGACGAATGACAGAGACTATGGGCGCAAAATGACCTTGTAGTCGGCGCGCCCTTAAGCCCCAATAAACAAACAAGAATGACAGAGACTACAAAATGATTTCAAATACGGGCATGGTCTAACCCAGGTGAAATCGCGACTTCTATCCTTGGTAAACGTTTGAGAAAAAAGTCGTTACGAACGGCTGTTTCTGGTATGTCGCTCACTCACCCGTCTCCGACCCTCATTATCATATGTCACCGAATTTTGAATGATTTTATTCAAGTTAATCGACCTATTTATCACTTTCATGCCTTATTAAATCGTTCCCAAGAGTTCAAATAATTTTCACCAGCAACCATCCACCATCGATTGGTGTTAAACTATATACGAGTAGACAAGCCATTGGATTTTCCCGCTGATGCCGTAAATGAACAAACGACTTTCAACTTCTTGAACGAGCATTTCTAATTTTATTGTACTCCAACCGCTGCATTCTGAAATTCGGTTAAATTCGGTTCCAAATCAAGCCTCGGGGAAAACCTCAAAGGAATGTCGCTCTCCAGCGGTTATGCGCCGGTCCCTAAGCAGCGCCCCAGTTTCTGCTGCGCCGTGCTGGGTGGCCCCGGGCGGCCCAAATCACCCGTCTGGCACTCGCTGTCGCTCTGACGCCGCTGGGTCGCGCCCGAACACCGCCGCCGGGACGGACGGTAGCTCCTTCGGCAAACAGCGGTCCCGTGTTGACGGCCGGCCGCGGCAGTCGGCGGCGACGCGACGGCGCCGCGCGCGCCGCCCCCGGGGCGCCGGAACCGACACCCCGCGGCGCCGCGTCGACACACAGCGACAGACAGACAGACAGACAGATGGATGGCCCGGCCATGGATTACCTACTACCTGGATCGGCAACTCCGCGGAATTCCCATTGTACTGCGCGACCGCCCGAAAGTGCTGCCACCTATCGAGCAAACTGATCCCTGCTAAGGACAGCCCGCCGCCGCCGCCCAGTCAGGCAGCGGCCGATACCAGCAAAGTCCGAAAATGACCGGCAAGTTACATGGCCTTAACCAGCCGCGGCTAAGTTGGGCATCGGCCAACAGTGTCGGGTCCCGAAAGAGTGGTACAGGGCGGTTCCATAGACTCTCTATCGTTTTGGAAAGAATGGTGTGCATGGGTCGTTTGCCGAGCGCGACTGGCTGATTTTACCTCAGCACGTCGTATTGTTAGCTCTCATGGCCAGGCCAGGCGCCTTCTGCCTGCAAATACCTTCGATCAAACGACTTTGTCTATCACTCGGGTTGCCCTCTTGCTGATCATCTTAAGCATTCGGACTCAGTCGTCGGCACAGGGAATGTGCCGTTCGCCGTGAAACATCCGAATCATTACTACAGCCATTTTGACTGACTTATAAAGATCAAGACAAATGCTGTCATATCGATTAACGAACATCTGCATCATTTAAAATTTCTTTCAAGAAGCATTCCAGGATTATAGGCTTACCATACGCCGTTTCGTTAAAAAACTGTTTCCGTATTGAACTTATATTTGCCGTCGCATGAGCGAAATGCATACTGAGTAGAGGCTGAAACCGACTCTTTCCGCAGTCAGAAATCATGTGCGAGACCGAGAGCCTATTCAAATAAACCCCGGTCGCACTCGCATCCATAGCACGCACCTACTTGCGTGTGATTGATGCTATTGCAACTTAATGAATTTCGCGTGCGATTTCCTAGTCTGTTCCGGTCTGAGGTTCAGAATTTAACACAGGTTCAAATGACAACTAAGGTGAAAGATGACACACAATGTTTACAATACATAGACTGATAGGAAGTCTTCGAGAAACGACGTGCCACATGCCTACTAAACGGTGTCGTAGCACCAAGTTGGTTTCCAATTCACATCTCCCACCAGAGTATATCGGGAATAAATGCAAACACGATAATGCACACGAACGCATTATCCGCTCAATGGGTATGCCCATAGGTATGTTAGTCAGTTACACACGCTGTGATAACTTAAACAATTTTCGGTCGAGCCAGTTCACAGTTCACACCCCGTCCGCCTGCTGCCGTCACGTCACACGTGTCCGCAGCGGGCGTGCACCTGCGAGTGCGTGCATCATAATTCACATCACAAATCACAGGATGCCAATTCAAGTCAGCACACCGTGAAAACTGAACCCATCTCTTTGATCTGAAACAAAGATAGAGAGAGGGAAATTAGATACCTGAGCATACCATAATGAAATGGAGAGCGAGGGCATTCCAAGGCAAACTGTTTCCCCACAGGCCACAACATCACCAAAAAGTATTTTACATTGCAATGATGTTGAGCAAAAAAAAAAAAATAATAATAATACCTTGACAGGATACTACCTAACAAAAGTACCCAAAAGCTTAACACCTCATCTGCTAGGCTTACATAGTTTAAAACTTTGATCTTACTTAAATCTATCTGATATCTACACAGTTTGTCTAGCACTCGTTCTAAAAAAGTGATTGTTATATATCATTCAATGGAGGGAAGCTCACAAACTTCTTCGTACAACTCTGGACCTTTCGACTTTTGAGAAAAGAAGGAAGCTGATGTCAGGGACCAGGGTCGGCACTCTTTTGTGGTTGACACTGGCTGCCGTTAGGCTTTCTTTTTACTGTCAAATGGTTCAGTTTTTCAGGCTGAGAACATGATTTATTTAAATGTGTTTTTTGATCCAATATCATTCAACTCTACTTTTGAAATCAGGGCATTGGCAAATGGCAAGCAGGTTATAAAAATTAGCTGAAATGACATGATGCCAGTTAACTGCTCTTGAGTCCTGAAGTGTGTTGCACTCTAGTCAGCCGTTCAGAGAAATACGTAGGAAACTGATATGGGTGAGCAGTGAGTAGGTACTGAGCAGTGAGCAGTGGACCAATTTATAGGTACACTAACTGATTTTGCCAAACTAAAAACTTATCAAAAACTTAAGCAATTCACAACTAACAATGCATCATCCACCACCTATCATGCGCTACCAAGACCGAAATTGTGACACAAACAAAACCATGGCTATATCATCAGCGGCATGTATAAGCTTGAGATATGATGTGTCAAACATATAACAAACATATAAAGAACATAAAATTGAACATATAAATAAGTGATTAACCAATTACGGCCCAAATTATATGATTTTTGACGACATACGGCGAGAAGCAATGTGCGCCAGTATCGTCAACAGCCCCTCTTTACAGTAATATCTTAGGCCACTCAGACCTTCCAACCATAAGAAAACCTTACCAATCTTACCTTGCCATCTTCCTGCATCTTCTGAAACCTTCCAATCTGCTCCAAAGGGGCTTAACTTTTCAAAAAACAACGCAAACGACCTTACGACGCGACGCCGACCATTGTTTTGAATAGCACCCGCTCCCCCGCGTCCTTAGCGCTCGACACCACTGCCACCTAGCGGTGGTCGCAAACATCGAGGAGTTGCCGATCCAGTATCTACTTCATCCATGGCCCGGCCAACCGACCGACAGCAGGATCGCGGAAGGTGGAGCGCTAGTGTATCACCGCAGAGGTGCAGTTTGGGGACTGGAGAGCCTTGAGTGCTTGAACAGAAAACTGAGGTCTGGTGGGTCCCAGACACGACTGCCAGGATATCGGCGAGATTATGTTGATTGATGTTGATGAACCGTATATGGCAACACGTTTTTATTTTAGAGTAAGCGAGAAAACTTTGCGTTCGGAGACATTGTTTTGATGGGTTCATAGAAAATGGTTCATGCATGTAGTTGTCACGCACGCCTCGTGTCATGCTGACATGTTGAACACCTGGTACGTGTTTCGCTCGCGAAAGTTACGTTTGATTAGTTGAGCGTCAATCACTGTGTGTGATTTAGATATTCATTTTGGGCAGTGTTTTAGAGGCGCGATTGCGTCAGCTGGCCGACGCGTGGCAGGTATACTAAAACCTTGGTTGTTTTGTTTAGAAAAGGTGAGCCACGCCCCGCGCTGAATGTGTGAAGATATAGAGGGTACGGCTGCTATAGTAATTTAAACCCACGGGCAGATGTGGTAATTTCATTTTTGTTGTGTTGGTTGAAAACTGTAGAAGCCGTCAGTCATGATTGCAAGCTGAATACATGGCCAGCGATACATTTAAATTACTATAGCCATTCGGTTTGAAGTTTGAGCAGCCAGTTCAAGCTACAGTGTGGTTTGTTGGAAATTCTGACTTGATTTTCATGAAAGGCCGTGTTGTTTTGATTGCCTAGTCAAGCTGGCAATGAGTTGTGTCAAGACAGATGTTGTGATGAGTGATGCGGCAAAGTTGGCTCGCTGCCAAGACAAGGTGAATGCCTCTCAAAAAGTGCAAGATGTGGAGAAAAGGTTCTAATGTTGATGTTTAATCTAATGGTGTTCTGTTCCTGAAAAAGTATATCCTTGTGGTGTCACATTTTACTTGTCATTGAAAGTTTGCTC